GCCCACGCTGCTGTGGACGGGAGAGGTTGGCGATGCGTCGCGTTTCCGGGTCTGGGGTGCTCGTGCCTTTGTCCGCGATCTCACCGCGGACAAGCTCTCTGCTCGCGCCATTCCCTGCGTCTTCCTTGGTTTTCCTCCTGACGCGCCTGGCTGGCAGTTTTACGAGCCCACCTCGCGCCGTGTCTTTGCGTCTCAGGACGTCACCTTTGACGAGTCTGTTCCCTTCTACCGTCTCTTTCCCTACCGCACTGCCTCTCGCCCCCCCCCCGCCGCTCTTTCTCGCTCCAGGTCCTCCCCAGGTAGACCCCCTCCCCGCGCCAGGTCCTGCTCCTTCAGGTGTTTCTCAGGTAGACCCCCCGGTACCTGCGCCTGTTGAGGTCACTGGTGACTCAGGTCCTGCTGGAGGTGGTCCTACTCGGGGTGCTGTCTCTGGGGGTGCTGAGCCTGGGAGTGCGGAGCCTGAGCGAGAGGCGCCTAGAGGTGCTGAGCCTGGGGGTGCGGAGTCTGGGGGTGCCGTGCCTGCGCGTGAGGAGCCTGGAGGTGCTGAGCTTGGGGGTGTCGAGTCTGAGGGTGCTGTGCCTGCGCGTGAGGAGCCTGGAGGTGCTGAGCTTGCGGGTGCCGAGTCTGCGGGTACTGAGCCTACGCGTGTGGAGCCTGGAGGTGCTGACGCTGGAGGTTCTGGAGCAGTTGGGGGTGCTGGCGCTGAGGGTTCTGAGTCTGCTGTTGCGCGGTCTCCTTGGAGTAGCCGCCTTCGTCCACGGGTGCCTCTCACCCCACAGCAGCTGCAGGACTGGTACGGTCACCGTCAGCGTCGCGCTGCTGGAGCTAGGAGTGGTGCTGGACCTTTGTCTACTGGAGGTGCTGGAGTCGCTGGTTCTGGAGGTGCTCGTACTGGAGACACTGAGGCTGGAGACCCTGGGACTGGAGGTGCTGGCTCTGGAGGTGCTGCTGCTGGAGACACTGAGGCTGGAGACCCTGGGACTGGAGGTGCTGGTTCTGGGGGTGCTACTGCTGGAGACACAGAGGGTGGAGACCCTGGGACTGGAGGTGTCGGCTCTGGGACTGGAGCTTCTGGAGCTGCTGGAGGTACTGGAGCTGCTGGAGGTACTGGAGCTGCTGGAGGCACTGGAGCTGCTGGAGCTGCCGGTACTGATGCAGCTGCGCCGACACGACTGTTCTTCGCTCCGCCGTCTCCGTCGTCTCTGCCGCCGTCTGACTCTGTTCTTCGTCAGGTTCTTACTCTCCCGTCGTCTACTGGTCTTCCGTTACAGCTTGGCTCACCGCTGCCTGCTCCTTCTCCTTACACTGAGCAGACTGGTAGTCCTGCTGAGCGTCGTGAGCCTGTGTCGCGTCCTGTCTCGCCTGCTCGTCCTGGTCGTACCGGTCGTCGTGTTCCTCGTTCGCGTCAGCCGGCTGTCCCCCGCGCACACCTCGTAGTTCGTCGTCCTTCCTCTGCTCTGCAGCCTGTTCCTCTGCCGTCTCCTCCTGCGTCCTCTCTACCTGACGTTCCAGACCCTGAGTCTGACCGGTTTCGTGCTGACCACCCTACTGTCACGCGTCTGCTAGCCACTGTTGTCACTGACCCGTCTTTTGAGTCTACTGCTGCGTCTGCTCTTGTCGCTGAGCTTGTTGACTTTGCTGCTGCCTGTCGTCTAGACTACGCCGCCAGTCTTGTTGCTGAGTCTGTGTCTGTCTGTCCTCCGTCCGTCGGGGGTGAGTGTGCTCTTAGCACGGACGTCCTTGAGGACAGGCAGGAGGAGTTCCAGTGTCTTGCTGCTGCTTTACCTCATCTTGTGTCCTCGCTACTTGCCCCTGAGGGAGACCCGGATGCACCAGACATCCCGACTCCGCGCTCTTACGCAGAGGCGATAGAGAGTCCCTACTCCTCTCAGTGGCAGGCAGCCATGGACGCAGAGATGGCTTCCTGGAAGTCCACAGGCACCTATGTCGACGAGGTTCCCCCACCTGGGGCGAACATCGTCAGTGGCATGTGGATTTTCAGGGTGAAGCGGCCGCCGGGTTCTCCGCCTGTCTTCAAGGCGCGTTACGTAGCTCGAGGCTTCAGTCAGCGAGAGGGAGTTGACTTCTTCCAGACCTTCTCCCCCACCCCGAAGATGACCACTCTTCGGGTGCTGCTGCACGTTGCTGCTCACCGTGACTACGAGCTTCACTCTCTTGACTTCAGCACTGCTTTCTTACAGGGCAGCCTGCACGAGGAGATCTGGCTGCGCCGCCCCCCGGGCTTCACTGGGTCGTTCCCTCCTGGCACCCAGTGGAGCCTCCGGCGGCCGGTCTACGGTCTCCGCCAGGCGCCACGTGAGTGGCACGACACACTGAGGACTACGCTTGCGGCTCTTGGGTTTGCGCCTTCTACTGCTGACCCGTCGCTGTTTCTGCGCACCGACACTTCACTGCCGCCGTTCTACATCCTCGTGTACGTAGACGACTTGGTTTTTGCCACTGCTGACACTGAGGCTCTCGCCCACGTGAAGTCGGAGCTGCAGAAGAGACACACGTGCACTGACTTGGGTGAGCTGCGCAGCTACCTTGGCTTGCAGATCACCCGGGACAGAGCACGCCGCACCATCACCTTGACTCAGTCACACATGGTGCAGCAGGTCCTTCAGCGCTTCGGCTTCACCTGGTCTTCAGCACAGGCCACTCCTCTGGCTACAGGTCACACGCTCTCAGCTCCACCTTCGGACGAGTCCGTAGAGCCGAGTGGTCCTTACCCAGAGCTAGTCGGCTGCCTCATGTACCTGATGACTTGCACTCGACCTGACCTCGCGTACCCTCTTGGTCTCCTCGCTCGCTACGTGGCTCCTGGTCGGCACCGACCTGAGCACATGGCTGCTGCTAAGAGGGTACTGCGTTACTTGTGCAGCACATCAGGCATGGGGCTAGTGCTTGGAGGGACGAGCCCAGTTGTCCTCACTGGGCACTCAGACGCTTCTTGGGTTGACGACCTGGCTACTCAGCGGTCATCACAGGGTTACACCTTCAGCCTTGGCTCTGGTTCAGTTTCGTGGCGTTCTACACGCTCGTCTTCAGTTCTCGGCTCCAGTTGTGAGGCTGAGATCTACGCCACAGCCATGGCTGCACAGGAGTTACGCTGGCTCACCTACCTGCTGACTGACTTGGGAGAGCAGCCTCGTTCTCCTCCAGTGCTGTACGTCGACAACAAGGCCGCCATTGCCTTGTGTGAGGAGCACAGACTGGAGCACAGAACGAAGCACATTGCTCTGCGTTACTTCCTTGCTCGAGAGTTGCAGCAGCGAGGCCAGCTTCGTCTTCGTCACGTGGCCACTCGGGCCAACACTGCTGATATATTCACCAAGGCACTTCCGTCTGGTGATCATCAGCGCTTTTGTACCCTGTTAGGCCTTGTGCCTACGCTTCCACACTTGCTGTAGTTTCTGCTTGTACTGTGATATATATATATATATATATATATATATATATATATATATATATATATATATATATATACCTGCATGCTGGCTCTTGCTAGGTAGCCATCACTGTACTGTCATTGCTGCATATATATCTCTGGGTGTGAACTGGCCTTGTGGCCATTTGCTTGTGCTCAGAATGTGTGGTGACGTTGTGATCCACCCTGAGCTTGTTTTGCTTCTCTTGACTGGTCTTGTGACCCGTTGCTCTCCCCCACTTTGCCTATGGGGGTGTGTCAAATGATATATATGTGTGATATATATTGGTAGGCTGTAGTGGGGTAGATGTTATAGGGGATAACACTTTAGGGTTGTGTGTCATGTACCAAACTCTCTCGTCAATCGAACCACCTTGCCTGATTCTCTCGATATACGACGTGGACTGGGCAGGCTTGTACCAGATCTTCGACGGGGAGAAGCGCCGCAAGCCTGCCACTTAGTTATTAGTGTTGAGAAAGTAGATAGGTAGATAGTTTTCAAAATTAACTCTGCCTTTATTAGTTTTCGTTATGTAGAGTTTGCCCTGATAGTTGTAGTGTAGCCCTGAATTTAAGTTTTTGGTTGGGTGCTTTCCCGGACGCTTAAAGGCTCGGAAAGGGCACTTCCCAGAGATTTCAGGGCTGAAATACGGGCACCTCAGACTCTCAAGTGTTGGCCTGGAACCAATCGACAGCCCTGCCCAAAACCTCTGTTCCCCTCCACTGGTAACGGTGCTGACTGTGGTGAGAAACAGTATTGTACGCCCTAAGCAGGGATGCGGCGTAAGAAAATAGATTTTTTTTTCTTACACGCTCCTGTCAATAACGTTCTGTACATTGACAGTTGTGACAGAGCCAGTTTCGTGTCTGCCTTGTAAAGTGGTGGTTCAAGAGCCAGGTTGTCAGTGGACTGATTTTCGTTTGCACCATTGTCGTGTTGTGTCGTCGTTGACATATGTTCCTTCACTTGTAACGTGATGCTCTTTCGTGAATAAGATCGCGCCAGCAAACGAATCGATTAGCGACATCGGTTCAAGCGTGTCTCCCTCCTTGACGACGCTGACGATGGGGCTAGACTTCAGTCCGAAACACAGACGTTTCAGGTAAGACTTTGTCTTTTCTTTGACCTCCCAACACCTGCGCTTCCCCCACCCCAGTTCTTTGCCCACCAAACCCTCTCGCGCCTACACCTCAACAACCCCAACATAGATATTCAGGTGATGACCAACAGAACAGGTGACCTCTGTAGCTGGACTCTGGGAGCCCAGACAGCCAGGTCGAGCGGGGTTTCGCTGGCACGTCTTTCGCCTCCCTTCACTTGTCGCGTAGCGCCAAGCGTTTCCTCTCCCTTGCTTCGTTTGCCCCCTCGCTCCTACCCACACCTCCACCCGAACTTTGCCAGTGCTCTCAAAACATCCCTTCATTCTCACTTGGATCTAGAACAACACAACCACCCCAGCACCGATCCCCTTTGAGATAGTCAATCAGCATTCCGACAAGTCCCTGAGCTCGATTATACGTCTTAGTTGTGAGATTTCCCAGGAAACCTAGATTCTCCCTCCCAACAGCCATGGCGGGCTCACGCGTCCTCCTGCTGTCGCTCCTCATTGTGTTGGTCTCCGCGCAATTCGCGTACGGGCAGATTCGTCAGAAAGCCTGCCTGCCCAAGGACAAGTGCCCTGACCGAAAGAGCAAGCTCTGCGGTCTCTACGCCACGTGCAGGACCCTTAGAAGCGCTCTTCCCGACCTATATACCTGCGACGAATGCGCTGCCTATGACCTGTACGAGCACCGTCCATTACCCTCCCCGGTAACTCCGTACTCTCGTGGCGTTGCGTTGCTTAGGCCGTTGAGCGTCCACGTGATTGAAGTAGTGTTTTGAGACCTGCCTTAATCACGATCCGTCGCTCCGGGCGTTGAGTGTGAGCTAGCCGATAGTATCCTTCGTGTTCATTTAGTGCGTCATTTAGGAAGTTCTGCCGTCCTTTTCGTGCCTTCTTGTTTTTCTTTCTTGTTTTGAGTGGATAATTTGTGTAGCAATTTCTGCCATCCTCGCGTGCATCGTGGAAGCCTTTCATTCCGGGTGCCTTGATCAACTGCTTACTCAGTATCGTCCTCACGTCGTCTGTGGCTTGATGACGCCCGCTACGTCGTCGTCTGCTTGTTTCTCTCTGCAGGAAGAAGATGCCTCCTAGCGCCTGTAACTACACGACCGGTCGCTGCCTCGCGAACAAAATCGTAAGTTCGGGATTACTTGTACTATTTCGTTTCGGCGCACTTGCTTTGTTGCTGCACAAAGCGTACGATCTGACCCGTCTATATATTTGTCGTGCTATTCGCAGGCTGGCAAGTCCTGCACTGCTAAGACGTTCAACACGGTGTGCGACAAGTCCCAACCCGCGTTCTCGTGCCAGAAGGTCGAAGGCGTTCCTGTCACCAAGAAGTCCCCCCAGGCGTACCGCTGCTGCAGGAACTCTTGCCCCGCTGGACTGTGCGGCAAGGGTGCGAAGCCGATCCAGTGGAGGAACGAGTGCAATGTTCTTCTCGACTGCCCCTCTGCTTGCGCTCCTCGTGCTGCGAACGCTGTCTCGGTCACATTTTTGTAATCTGGTAACCCTGCGATTGAGCTTCTCCGTATAAATCACACTGTACCATGCTGCTATTCTGGTTTCGTTCTTTTGGTTTCCGTAGATGAATTTTAATGGAACCTTGTTTAAGGGCATTATGTTTAATTCAATGTCCGATATTTCATATAACGCACCTTGTAAAACCACAATCGCAGATGTACTGTTAGCATAGGGTTTCCAGAAATATGCACTCCACACTACCGAAACGGATCATCTCACCGTATAGCAACCCCTCCAAAAGTTGTCCTAGCCTCGCTATATTTTTAGTTACACTAAAAGATGACTTAAATGCGAATCACCGTATCGGGCAATTTACAGGCCTTCCTTCCCCATATCCAACTCGCCACGTAATGAGTAAGCATGCCCCTAATCGGCAACTCATATTGCAGTCAATAGTGCATAAGCATATATCACAATGAACCAAATAAGATAACAGATTTGTAACAGACTCCTACTAGTCTTTTGATGTGAGGACTAGTATAGCAAGAACGCCGATAAGAATGAACTGCAGTGCAGGGGGGAGGAAAAATGGGGGCAGGGCAGACATGTGGCATCATACAACGAGGCATGACTAAAACACAAACAAAAACAAGCACGAAACAATCGTTCAACAAATGTACCGTACAAAGTAGATTGTAGCGAAAAAACAGTCAACAAAAGGACCACATTGCAGTGCAAGTGCAACTTGTGTGGAGGAATGAGGGAAGGGGAAAGAGGGCAGGGCAGGGAGAGCATATGGAGGCAGAAGAAGGGGGGGGGGGAGGAGGGAAGGGGGAAGGGGAGGGTAGGGGAGGGTGAGAGTATGGGGGGGGCGGGGATGTACAAAGTAGATAGTGTTCTACTGCTTTGATGTAACTGTACCTTGACGCACACATATCTGTACTTGCTTATAACGAGGTAGACAGTGTTGCTACCTTGAGACACACATATCTGAACTTATAACAAGGTCATTTGTGTGACTGTACCTTGATGCACACATATCTGTACTTATAACGAGGACGACTGTGTTACTGTACCTTGATGTAGGGGTGCTCCGTCATTATAATGGTGACGTAGCCGATATAGGGGAGGTATCTGCGCAAGAAGAGGATAAAGGGCAGATCATTGCCCCACTTCCTTGATTCTCATTGCAGGTTCACAGGGGCAAATCATTCTCCAATGTGACGAATGACCAAGCATGCACAGCAGCAACCACGAATCAGTGATGTAGCAACATGGAGGTAGCACCTGCATCAGGAAATGAGCAAACTAGTACAAAGCAATCAAGCATACAACTCGCCTCACCCCATGGCGCGCCCAATGATGTGCTTCTTGCGCAGACACAGCTGCCCCTCCGGGTGACACTAAGTGACCACACCTGCATATCGCACCCCACTCCACCCCACCCCACCTCACCCATTGACACCTCAACTTACCCCACCGAATCTCACCTCATCCCATGGCGCCTTCAATGATGGGCTTCTTTTCTTGAGCAGCCACAGCTGCCCCTGCCTCCCTGTGCACCACTCCGTGCCAGCATGCACTGAGTTACCTGATTCCACCGCCCCTCAAGGCACATTTCCGACAGTTAACTCACCCCAGCGCGCGCCCGATAATGTGCTTCTGCCCCTAGGTGACACTCCCTGCCCGCATCCTCCCTGTTTACCCATCCCATGCACGCCCCACTCGCCCCATGCACGCCCCACTATGCACGCCCCACTCCACTCGCCCCATGCGCGCCCCACTCACCCCATGGCGCGCCCGATGATGTGCTTCTTGCGCAGCCACAGCTGCCCCTCCGCGGGTGACACTGTGTGGCTACACCGTATACTGCACCCCACCCCACCTCACCCCAGTGACACCTCGAATTACCCAGCCGCCCCTCAACTCACCCCATGGCGCGCCCAATAATGTGCTTCTTGCGCAGCCAGAGCTGCCCCTCCGCATACAGTGGCAGGTCGTCCCCCTCGTTGTTGTCACCTGCTCATAGTCACGGTCACGGGCACAGGCACGGGCATGCACAGAAAAAACACATTGCATGAGGCATAAAGAACACACCCTGCACGATGCATCAAAGAAAGGAGAGAGATCCTTTGCGGAGAGAAGGGTTGAAGTGAAAGAAGGAAGCGGGGAGGGAAAGAGTGGAGGGGGCTAACACACCTACCTTGAGAGCTTGAACCCCCTAGCCTACCTCTTGTTCCTGAGCCTACCTTTTGTGAGCGCCTGAAACTCGTCAGGGTCGGCCTCTTGGTGCACCTGGGAGGGGACGGGGACAGTCATGAGAACAGGGGGATGAGCGTGAGCGGGAGGAACAGGTGTGTGAAAGGGAGGCCGTGTTTGAAATTCCTTGAAAAACGCCTGAAACTCGTCAGGGTCGGCCTCCCCTCTTGATGAATTTGGGGAGGAGGAAGGTGTGAACAGCCAGACGCGGGTGGGTGCAAAAGACACTGTTGTGTCAAGTGGTGGAAGAGAAATGTCTAGAAAGGAACAGCGGCGAAGGGATCAAAACGCGAGGCTTAACAAGGGAAAAAATATTGAAATAATAATAATCAGATAGAAATGTGGTGTGACATTTGAGACAACGATTGTTTTTATTTATTTTTGCACTTGAAAATGTGGTTCATGAAGCTGCATGTAGCAAGGTTAGAACGGCAGTACCTTTATAACGCGATGGACAATGGGAATGTCTCGACCCTGTATGTGTGAGGATATTGAAAAGTATGTTTGACGATATTGAAAAAACAAGGGGATAGCACGAAAAGGTGGGTGAGAATCATAATAAAAAGGAGAGTGCTGATCATGTATAGGGATTGATCATGTAACACAACCCACTACAGTCAAAATAAGTGACAGACTCACATGCTGCAACATGCATGACCCGAAATCACATTGCATGGCTCATATCCACGTGGCATTAGTCACATCCACGTGGCATGACTCACATCCACGTGGCATGACTCACATCCACGTGGCATGACTCACATCCACGTTGAAGACCACGATCTCCCCCACAGAAAGCGGCGTTGGGTTCATGTGGAGAAAGAGAATGTCGCCCTGCGGAAGGAAGTGGGGAAGGGATAGGGGGGGAAGGAAGGGAGAGAGGGGGGGAGCGAGCGAGGGGGGAGGGAGAGAGGGAGGGGGGAAGCGAGAGGAGGGAGGGAGGGAGGAAGGGAGAGACATGAATTCCCTGGCTACTGGCACAGGTGCAACACATGCACCACGACGGCACTAATCCATCTCAAGCTTTTCTGTACGCATTACAAGCCCAAAACGATAGCTACAAACGCAGCAAAGCTCGTACTCGTTTAAAACCTGTTTTTACAACACATGAGAGCATGATGAAATGACAAGGGGGTTCCATGCGGGGTCACCGAGAGAGAAGGAGGCACACACACATAAGCCCGTGAACACTACTCGTTATAAAGCCAGGACAACTCGTACTCGTTTGAAGCCGGGTTCCATGGAGCCCGAGAGCACGACGACAACTGGCGACTCGCTATTGGTCCAGCACATGAGGCCCTTCCAAATGACGAGAGCTGACGTCACTATCATGCCTGGCAGAGGTGCAACATCAGGGATGGTGGGAGTAGAGACGGATGAGGGAGGAAAAGAGGTACAAATTGAGAGAGGAAGGGTGGAGGAATGGGCAAATGGTGGGAGGGAGAGGGAGAGGGAGAGAAAGGAGAGGGAGAGGGAGAGAAAGGAGAGGGAGAGGGAGAAGCAGAGAAGTGTTATGGGTGAAAGTAAAGTGACGGGAAGACAGAGAGAGGGTTACATAACGCCAGTGCCAGAGTCAGAGTAATTTCCAGTTTTTTTAAATTAGTCATGGAAGGGTTTTCTGGACTGGGGGAGAACAAGTTATGTTTGGGCAGCGCAAAAGTCCTCGTCTGCAATCCCGCTTCTCTGAGTCAACGGATTTCTAGATTACGGAGAAGGAATCCTTGTCAAGTACTAGGGTAACAAACGATCCCGCTTCAGATCTCTGCGAAACTAAGAGGACCAGACAGATGTCTCCACTGTTCACTGATTAGCATATAGGTTGGCGCAGGCAACGCTAGGAAGAAAAGGAAGAACCAGAACCAGCATGCACCAGCGCGTGATTCGGTTCCGTCCGTTGGATTGACCAGAAGGAATCAATATGATTCTTTTATCAACTCAAAATTCGGTTCGGTTCCGTCCGTTGGATTGACCGGACGAAATCCAACCAACCCTAACGGTCAAGACAACGCGCAGTCTCATGCAGGTGAAGAGACGACTCACGAACCGCCTAAATTAGGCGTCGCACAAAGGCGTTTTTGTACAAAATAGCGCACAGAGTAATCCTAGCGACGGATCGCACCCCACCTAGCCCGAGCGCCTGCATGATAAAGTGTCGCACGCTCATCGCGTCGAACCACCCGCCGGTAGACATGGCTGCCGGCTGGCCGACACTTCCAGGTTACAACAGCAACAGACGACAGTGATGAAACGAGAAATTAACACACGGCAGTCCCAGGAATGTACGGAGAACTCGGCGTAGGATACGGGATGCACGTAGATCCCAAGGCCGAAGAACGTGGAGCCCTGAGGAATGAATTTCCCGCTGGTGTAGGTTTTGCTGGGAGCTCCGCTGGGGGGGTTGTGGGCTAAGTTGATCTTCAAACGCGTATAATAGCGGATACATGGTATATAAAAAGCTCTCTAAACTGTTGAAAACAAACCTCCCCGAGTCCGGAATATAAGCTATTAGCATAAGTACCAGGTAAGAGTTCCATCTGGACATTTTGAATCATTAGCTTCTTTCACTTGATACCGACTTATACGGACATATCTTTGCAAATTTCATCCAACAATATACAACAACATACCGTAAAAGAGTGCCTGCCTACCATCCTACCTAGTTTGACTACCTATCTACACATATCAGCTGTTGCCATGCTCACCACATAGCTAATCCGTTCCAAATTGCCCTCTGGAGCACCAATCTCAGCATCCAAAACCCCAGGCACCTCAGCAAGCGACGAATAATATTCCACAACAGCCATCTCACTCCTCCGTTCCTCCACTTCACCCCACCCATCACCACCCCCTCCATTCCCAATACTCAACTGCTTGCTGTGTTTGTCCAATCTATGTCTACACTCCTCCCCACACACATCCAACATTTCTTCTCTCCCTGTCGCCCACATCATGACATCAGCAATTTCAGCGGCCACCCATGCATCATCCACCTCTTCCCTCTCCTCCTCCCTCCCCACAAACTCCTCCCCATCCAGCCTTTCATCTCTCCCCATACATGCATCCGCAGCATTAGAAGCATAGCCGGGGAGGAAAGAGGGATCATGAGCAGCACCTGGAAAGTCTACAGCAGCACTTGGCGAGACGTATTTAGCTAAGTGATGAGCTGCTGATTCCACTGCAGAATCGGTGATGGCTGTTGAAGCAATAATGGGCGCAGATGCTTCTGCAGATGCTTCAGAGGCAGCAGATGCAGCAGACGCTCCTGATGAGGAGGAAGAAGAAGGCTCGGGGGAGCAAGGGCGAGGGGAGCACAACCGAAGAGGAGGTGTTGAGGGATCCACCGTTGTTAGGAGCAGCAGGACTATAGAGGGCATGATCTTGGCATAGCTGCTGCTGCTGCTGCTGCTCTTGCTCGTCCCGGTGATGTGGATACTGCTGCAGATAATTGTGGTGGTGCTGCTGCTGCAGCTGCGGCTGTTGCTGGTGGTGGTGGTGAGGATGCTGCTGCTGCTGCTGCTGCTGCTGCTGCTGCTGCTGCTGCTGCTGCTGCTGCTGCTGCTGCTGCTGCTGCTGCTGCTGCTGCTGCTGCTGCTGCTGCTGCTGCTGCTGCTGCTGCTGCTGCTGCTGCTGCTGCTGCTGCTGCTGCTGCTGCTGCTGCTGCTGCTGCTGCTGCTGCAGGTGATGGTGATGGTCGAGGTGGTAGTGCTGCTGCTGCTCTTGCTCCTGCTCCTCCTCCTCCTCCTCCTGCTGTTGTTCCTGGCCCCACAGCTGCATACCCACCAGTGGAGACGTCACCTCGCAACCAAGCGACCCTGCCTCTCCCTCTCCCCTTTCCCATCCCAATCCCCCCTCCTCCCCCTCCCTCCCCTCCTCCTCCAGTGAGAAGGAGAGGAAGGAGGACTCAGACGAAGGCTCCATACTGCCTCGCATCCCAGTCTCGCCACACACAGTAGGGTCTTCACTATACAACTTCTGATTCGCCTCAAAGGCCCCTCTCACCCCATTCTCACCCAACGGAATAGGCTCCTCGCCAAACATTCTGTGAGGCGCCTCAAAGGAAGGTACCATACCCCCTTGCACCACATTCTGACCAGACGCAGTAGGCTCTTCACTATACATCTCCCTTCCAGCAAGTCTTCCCTCGTCTCCACCCTCCTCTTGTTCAAACTCCTCACCTGCGCCCTCACCTTCCCCTCCATCTTCTCCCTCTTTCCATCCCTCATCCTCCCTTACGGCATCTCGCTCTCCCTCGCCCTCCCCTTCCGAAAGTGCATGCTCTCTGACTTGTTCAGTGACCTCTGCTGCATGCATGCCTGTGCTGGCGGCTGTAGTAGCCGATGCTCGAGCTGCTGTGGTGTAATCAATGGGGAATGCGGAGAGGGAGGAGGGGAGGGGAGAGACAGGGAGGTCAGCAATGCAAGTGTGAGCGTGTGAATGTGCTTGTAGATTGCAAGTGCCCACACCGCGCCCCCCCTGTCTGTTCAGTGAGCTCTTATGCACGCATGCCCGAGTCAGTCATTGTTATTGATGCTCGAGCTGCCATGGTGTAACTATGCCCATGCCCATGCCCATGCCCATGCTCATGCCCATGCCCATGCCCATGCCCATGCCCATGCCCATGCTCATGCCCATGCCCATGCCCATGCCCATGCTGGTGCCGTGGATCAGACTCCTAAGTACGCACATGCAAGCATCAGAGTACCTGCTCCAGACGCTCGTTCATGTCTCTGCCCAGCTGTCGACATGCCATGCCCATGCTCGTGAATCTGACTCCCCTGCACGAATTCTGCTACAGCCGCCGCTACATCCGGTTGTGCTGCCCTCTCCAGCAGCACGAGGAAGTCAGTTAGCTCCTGTGGGAGTGCATGAGATGAGAGCAGATGAACACGGGTGGCGGAAGGTAAGAAAAGGCGAGAAGGAGAAGGGAGGAAGGAAAAAGAGGACGAAAACGCACAGGCATTCACCCTGGCACTGTGCTGCTGGCAGATGGGTCTTGGGGCCCTTCACGGATGATGCATGCACCACCACACATAAACGCACGAGCACTCCTATGCACCAGCTTCCAACGCACCGGGAGTTGGGGACAGAGCCAATGTGAGTCGCCAGGAACACAGGTCCGATCTGCGCAATCCACCTCTCCTAGGCACTGTGCTGCTGGCATCTTTCACACATGATGCATGCATGCAGTACCACAGACAAACACACCAGGCCCTTAACGTACCGAGTCGGGAAGGGAATCGATGTGATGCGAGCTGCTAGGTATGCGGGGCCGATCTGCGCAACCACCTCCCCCAGGCGCTGTGCTGCTGGCAGGCGGGTCTTTGAGTATTTCACAAACAATGCATGCACCACGAGAAACAGACACAAGAAGCCCCAACCCAACGTACCGAGTCGGGGAGGGAATCGATGTGAGCGGCCAGGAAGACAGGCCCGATCTGTGCGACCACCTCCCCCAGGCACTGTGCTGCTGGCAGGCGGGTTTTGGCGTCCTTGAGCAGAGGGAGGAGACGAGTACCCCACTGCCGGATGCTCTTGGCTGGATGGGGGGGCGAGGAGGGAAGGGAGGGAAGAGAGTAGGTGTTGGTGGTGTGGAAATGGGTAAATACAAGCAGGCGGGTTTTGGGGTCCTTGAGCAGTGGGAGGAGTCGAACGCCCCACTGCCGGATGCTCTTGGCTGGATGGGGGGGCGAGGAGGGAAGGGAGGGAGCGAGGGGAGAGAGTCAATGTGAGTGGCCAAGAAGACAGGGCCAATTTGTACAACCACCTCCCCCAGGCACTGCGCTGCTTGCAGGCGAGTCTTAGGGTCCTTGAGCAGTGGGAGGAGTCGAACGCCCCACTGCCGGATGCTCTTGGCTGGATGCGGGGAAGGGAGGGAGGGAGGGCGGGAAGTGGGTGTGAGAGGTACAGTGAGTGAGGGGGTAAGGAGGAGGGGTAGGGAGGGAGGGAGGGAGGGAGGGAGGGAGGGAGGGAGGGAGGGAGGGAGGGAGGGAGGGAGGGAGGGAGAGAGGGAGGGAGGGTAGTGGCTGGGCGGGGTCTTTCCTCTTGGTGCAGCACACTTGGGGAGGGAGGGAATGAGCGCGGGTGAGTGAGCGTGGAAAAGGGAGAAGAAAGAAAGGCGCAAGCGTAGAAGCCAACAGTTATATGTCCTCGGTTACCAGTACCGGTTACTGATCAGTTTCGAGCAGAAACTGGAAACTAAAAAGAGTTCAAACTGACGCAATGACCCGAGCTAGGAACTTACCTTCTGCTGTGCTTCTTCTGACCCGAGCCATGGCACCCCCACCACGCTGCCTCCCTTCTTCCTCCTCCTCTCCCCCGCCCTCCCCCTCCCTCTCCTCTCTCCCCGCCCTCCCCCGCAGCACCTGCTCTGCAAACTCCACCACACATACCCGCACTCTCGGTCCCCTTTGTCCCTCCAAAGCCCTCTCCAGCACCGGCAGCAGCACCTGCACCGCCTCCCCCTCTCCCCCTCTCAACCCCTCCCCACTCCTCCCCACCTCACCCACCTCCCCACTCACCCCTCCGCACCCATCCCCACGCCTAAACCAGATATTTAGAGCACAATCCAGTATCCCCTCGGCCTGAGCTCGCATGCGGTCCTTTCCAGTGTCAGCCACGCGGGAGAAGAGAGGGGGAAGCCATTTGTCCAGGTGCGGAGGGGTGAGGATGGGCGGGCAGTGCAGAACGAGGTCTTCCAGGAGGGACAAAGCCGAGGAGGCGACTTTGGTGTGGGCAAATTCCATCCCCGCTACTAGCAGCTCCACTACTTTGTCCAGGTACTGCAAGGGTGGAAACCAGGGTAGAAGAGAGGGGGGAGCCATTTGTCAAGGTGGGGGGGGAAGAGGATGGGCGGGCAGTGCAGGACGAGGTCTTCCAGGAGTGACGAAGCTGAGGAGGCGACTTTGGTATGGGCGAATTCCATCCCCGCTACTAGCAGCTCCACTACCCTCTCCAGGTGCTGCAGGGGTGGAACAGAGAGGAAAATTGTGATGAAACTCTGACCCCACTGCCCACCCCCATACACTTAACCCACTGCCCACCCCCATACACTTAACCCACTGCCCACCCCCATACACCTAACCCACCGCCCACACCCATGCACCTAACCCACCGCCCACACCCATGCACCTAACCCACCGCCCACACCCATGCACCTAACCCACCGCCCACACCCATGCACGTACCTTCACAACGGCCTGAACACCCTTGCGGCTCACTCCTTACGGACACCCCCAGGCAATTAAACCGCTGTCCACCCATTCACGTACCTTCACAACGGCCTGAACACCCTTGCGGCTAACTCCATCCCCCTCCCCTGCTCCCCATGCCGCCGCGTCCCCTCCGCCCATCACACACTCCCTCACCGCCTCTAATGCCGCCACCCGTCTCGACCAGTCACACCCCTTCCGCAACCCCTCCTCTACCCTCACCCTCATCTCTTCCCCCACATCCCTCTGCTGCTGCTGTGCCTTCTTCCCCTGGCTCCGATCCCTCCCTCCTACTGCCGCTGCTGCTCCCACTGCTCCTCCTCTCGCCCCCATCCCTCCCGTTCCGCGTGCCCCTCCAATTGCTCCTGCCCCTCCTGTTGCCCCCATCCCGCCAGTCCCATAACTGCTGGCAACACTCCGTCTTGCAGGTCTGGGAACAGCGGCAGCAGCAGCAGGAGGTAGGGATGGGCGTGCGCGGGCAGGGGGGGGTGGGGAGAGGCTGGCATGTCGTGGTGGCATGGACGCTCGTGGTGCGTGCTGCTGCTGATGGTGCTTTTGCTGCTGCTGCTGCTGCTGCTGTTGCTGCTGCTGCTGCTTCTGCTCGTGTGCTGTTTCCACAGTTCCAGGTAACGAGCCTCTTCTCCTGCCAGCACCTGCTCCCACTGCTGCTGCTGCTGCTGCTGCTCCTCTTACCCCTGCTGCTGCTGTTCCTCCTGCTGCTGCTCCATTAGCGCCAGGCCTAACAAGCCCACTTGCTGCTCTCGTCCTCTCCTCACCCAACCCTCCACCAGCCTCCTCGCTCACTCCCAATAACGCCCCAACAGACCTCCTAGCATGCACCGCCCTCTTCTCCCCACCACCACCCCCATTCCCCCCTCCCCCAATCCCGCCTCCCCCGTTCCCGCCTCCACTCACATTCCCCGTTCGCGTCCCAAAACCCCCCTTCCCCTCCGCCTCACGTTCCCCCAGCGCCCCTCGCCCCACCCTGTTCGCAGCAGTCTCTAGAGGCCGTGAAGGCACCAAACCTTCAAGATTGGTTGACGCGGCAATGCTGTGCCTCTGCCTCCTCGGCCCAAGCCCACAGTCACCTCCTCCCGCTGCCGCTGCTCCACCCCATCTCCCCTGCACGTTTTCCTTCATAGGAACATCGTCTATAGAAACACGCGCCACACCAGCAGCCCCACCTCCACGAGCACCAGCAGCACCAGCAGCAGCAGCAGCACCAGCACTGCGGCTAGCAGAGTCAAAGTCCAAAACACGGACTATCTTGGGGGATAGGTTCACCTCACTTCCAGGTGAACCTCCCCCAGATGACACCCCGTCTCTTGCATAATCAGCATCATCATCATCAGCTGCAGTGCCAGTCTCACTTGTTGATACCACTCTCTGTGGGCCAATCCGATCCCCTCTCCCAGCTACCCCTGCGGCCCTGGATCCCACTAAACCTGCTACTACAGCAGCCCCTGCTGCCCCTGCTGCTCCTGCTGCTCCTGCTCCTGCTGCTCCTGCTGCTCCTGCTGCTCCTGCTGCCCCTGCTGCTCCTGCTGCCCCTGCTACAGCGGCATCTCTCCCTCCTCTTCCTCCTGCTCCTCCTGCTCCTCCTGCTCCTGCCACGACCCTCACTGCTGCTGCAGCAGCAGCTGTGCCCTGTGCACCAAGCCTCACTCCCCGCACCAGCCCCATCCCACCGCCACCTCCTCCTGCTCCCCTCCCTCCTCCCTCCCTTCCTTCCACTCCTCCCCCACCAGCGCTTACAACAGCACTAGCAGAGGCGATATCCCCTCTCATGTGCTGACCGGCAGCATAGTTCAAGCTAAGACTCGCCAGCCCCCCTCTCGCACTCTCCGTAACAGCCGCCATACGAGCCGTACCCGCACCAACAGTAGCACCTGTAGCAGTAGCGGCAGTAACAGCAGTGGCAGCACTGGCTGTCCCAGCAGTTGTTGTAGCAGAGGCAGTTTGTCGACTAGCAGCCATGAGGTTCCCGAGGGCAGCAGCAGAGCGGGGCAGGATGGGCTGGGGGCTGCGAGCACGTGAGGGCGAGGGACGAGGAGGCGGGTCCCTCTTGGAGTGTGCTGACAGTGCAGCTGACTTGTCCTCCTGAGCCAACACCTGGGGAGGAGGGAAGAGAAACGACGAGAAAGGAAAGAGGGAGGAGAAATGAGAACGCGGCAGGATGGGCTGGGGACTGTGGGTATGTGAGGGCGAGGGACGAGGAGGCGAGTCCCTCTTGGAGTGTGCTGACAGTGCAGCTGACTTGTCCTCCTGAGCCAACACCTGGGAAGGGGGAAAGGAGAAAGGAGGTAGGAGGAAGAAGAAAAGAGAGATAAGAGTGAGGTAAGACCTGACGGGGACAGTGAGCACGCGAGGGCGAGGGGGCTGGGAGAGAGCTGCCTCCCAGAGCTGACTGAGCGTTCTTCTTGGAGTGTACTGACTGACAGCAGTGCCGACTTACCTAGAAGGGTGAGTGTGTTTTTTAAGAATTCTGAGAAAATGCATTCAGCCTGAATACGCTGCCAACTTACTTAGAAGGAAGTCAGCAACTTCCAGATTTCTTTCCTTCAAGCAACTTCCCATCCTCCTCACCTCCTCACCTCCCCACCTCCTCACCTCCCCACCTCGCCATCTCCCCACCGCCTCACCTTCTGCACTGTGACATCAAACGAGGAGCGCAGGCGGGCGGCTCTCTCCGGCCACAAGTGGGAAAATTCCCGGAAGCTGCGCCTGGCTGTGGCTCGCACCTGGTAAGCGGGAGAGGAGACGGTGTGAGGAGGGAGAGGGAGAGATCACCTGAACGGAGTCATAAAAGCGGAGGGAGAGAGAAAGCGCATGTGAGCGTGGGGCGAGGGAGACGTCAAATCGGTAAGATTCATTTCACAGCTTTGCCTCTCCTTCCTCTGCCGCAACTCCCACTCTCCCTCGCATCCTTGCCCCCTCTCATCCCCTCTCTCGTCTCTCATGTCATTCTCTCGCCTCTCGCTCACTCTCTCCCATCTCTACCTCACCTCCCGCGTGCCATCCTCTCGCCTCTTCCTCACCTCCCGCGTGCCGTCCTGCACGCCGCTACGAATGCTGCTTTCAATCGCATCCACCAGCATGACCAGCTCGCCCTGTGGGCCCCACACCTCCAGCGCCAGCAGCACATACTCCGCACACCTGGCAAGGTGGCGGGGGGTGGGGTCGTGTACGGGTGTGTGAGGGAAGTGTGTGATGGGGGAAGCAGCAGGCTCAAATAACGTTACAGTTACTTTTCGCACTGCATACCTCAACCTAAACCTGCCATCGCCCTGTTGCCCTTCCCTTGTCCCTTCTACATAACCCTAAACCCGTGCTCTATGCACCCACCTGCTCCTCACGACTGTGCTCTTTGACGCCTGGGCTGTCTCAAACACCTTGCTCAGCGCACACGTCACCCTCTACCCACATGCTCACACCTTGCTATTACCGTCTTACACCCACCTGCTCCTCACGACTGTGCTCTTTGACGCCTGGGCTGTCTCAAACACCTTGCTCAGCGCACACGTCACCCTCTACCCACATGCTCACACCTTGCTATTACCGTCTTACACCCACCTGCTCCTCACGACTGTGCTCTTTGACGCCTGGGCTGTCACAAACACCTTGCTCAGCGCACACGTCACCCTCTACCCACATGCTCACACCTTGCTATTACCGTCTTACACCCACCTGCTCCTCACGACTGTGCTCTTTGACGCCCGGGCTGTCTCAAACACCTTGCTCAGCGTGCGAGCGGGCCTGCAGCGTATCACCACCTGCAACGGTCAAGGTAATAAAAAGCCACACAAGACACTGGACGATATCAAGGGTACGTCCGGGACATTGCCCAGCGCAGGGGGCGTTACAGGGATAAGGACAACGAAGTCACAGGGACAGGGTAGCGGAAGAGAAAGCTGACAGCGACGGGGACGGGGATCGGGACGGGGATTGGGATGGGGAGTGGGACGGGGACGAGGGACGAGGGACAAGGGACGGGGACGGTAACACCAGAGAAGACAGAGATAGAGAGAGATAGCACCAGAGATGGCGAGGACACAACTCGGGAGGCGAGCTCACAGTTCGGATGGTGGAGTCTGCAGAGTCGGCCATGATAGCCGCGGATGATCCCAGCAGCAGAGAGGTACACAGAGAGAGATATAGAGAGATATAGAGAGGTACACAGCGAGATATAGCACCAGGCACGGCGAGGGCACAACTCGGGAGGCGAGCTCACAGTTCGGATGGTGGAGTCTGCTGAGTCGGCCATGATAGCCGCTGACGATCCGAGCAGCTTCATCAGCTCCTGGCGGGTGCAGGGGGGTGAGAGGCAGAGAACATGGCGGAGAGGAGTAGGTTAGGGTCTGAACTTGACTCAAAATCAGGAGCGGACGACCCCAGCAGCTTCATCAGCTCCTGGTGGGTGCAGGGGGGTGAGAGGCAGAGAACATGGCGGGGAGCAGGTTAGGGTCTGGACTCTGGGGAAGTCCGAATAAAGAGCGAACGACCCCAGCAGTTTCATCAGTTCCTGGCGGGTGCAGGGGGGTGAGAGGCAGAGAACATGGCGGAGAGGAGTAGGTTAGGGTCTGAACTTGACTCAAAATCAGGAGCGGACGATCCCAGCAGTTTCATCAGCTCCTGGCGGGTGCAGGGGGGTGAGAGGCAGAGAACATGGCGGAGAGGAGTAGGTTAGGGTCTGAACTTGACTCAAAATCAGGAGCGGACGATCCCAGCAGTTTCATCAGCTCCTGGTGGGTGCAGGGGGGTGAGAGTCAGAGAACATGGCAGGGAGCAGGTTAGGGTCTGGACTCTGGGGAAGTCCGAATAAAGGGTTAGGTTCAACGAAAGACAGACAACGTGAGGGGGAGCGGCGGAGGGGGGTAAGAGGTAGAGAACATGGGGAGGAGCATGCTAGGGTTCGGGGCCACAATATCAGGAGCGGACGACCGACCTCACCCCACGAACTTCACTTGGGGCTGATGAAGCCCCGAGTGGGCGGAGCGGGGTGGGAGACAGAGCATGGGACGCAGTAGGTTAGAGTCTGGTCTGAGAGAAGTATTCGAATCTAAAGCAGATAACCTATGACTGCCAGTACTGACCGTACTGACCGCAGGCGCGTCAGTAGGTCTAATAGGTGGCTGCGGGCCGGAGACAGGTGACACGGGGAGCATGTTAGGGTTTGGCGATGATAAATGACTTGTGAATCGTCCGACACAGGATCTGGAATGCACGTGTTAGCTGGGGAAATGCGTGATGACAGGAAGGGAAGATCACTGACCTGAAGCACGATATCCGAGCATGCTTCGAGCTCCCCGGACAGGCACTCAGCGATTGCTGAGCAGTTGCTGCAACGCAATTGCGACTCTAGCATGTCTTAGCGGGGAATGCGTGATGACAGGGAGGGAAGATCACTGACCTGCAGCACGATATCCGCGCATGCTTCGAACTCCCCGGACAGGCACTCAGCGACTGCTGACACGAGATTGCACGCCTGCAATCAGAAACAAGCGCGTGTGCAATCAGAGATATGCAGATGCAATCAAAAACACTCACGCAATAAAAAACACGTGCGCAATCAGAGACACACGCACGATCAGAGACTCGCACATGCAAACTACTACGCCAAGTGATGCCGGTATACCGTTTTGTCAAGCATTTACCCTATTATTCGCCCGCTATGGCTAGTTAGCATCAAGAGGATTCTGCCGACCTTCTATAATGCTTCGTAATTCCAAACGGTGAACCACGCTTAGCTGCGAGTGGCCTAACCCACTACTGCTGGTCATTGAGTTACCTGCTCCACGAAAATCGACCATCCCGTTACCTTTTGGACGGCCAGTACTCGGCCGTCCCAGATGGAGGAGCTTGGGCTGCCCGTCAGGTCACCTGCTGGACAATCTTGGACTGACCGTCTAATTACCTGTTTGACGACTTTCGACCGGCCATCCTGGAGTTGGACGGCGAGGTGCGGCATGATGAGCTGCCGGAGCAGCGCCGATATTCCCGTTACTCCAGATCGTGCGGCTGAGATCGGATAATCAGGGCATCGGGAACCAAAACCACGAGAAGGCACGAAGACAAAGATCGTTTTCCAGCTTGTGCAGACGAAATATAGACTACCAAAAAGGAAGAGGAGTTTTAACTAGAGCCCTAGGCGGGAAGGACAGAACAGGAGGTCAGGAAGCTACACGAGAACCACAATGGTTGTCAGTATGTTGGGTTTTGGGAAATTGTGGAAGAAGGAGCATATAATGATAATCGCTTTTCCAAGCTTCGAATGGGAGCACGTACCGCCTCGGAAGAGGCCCTCGAGGCGCTTCAGGGCGGCCATGCGAGCATCCCAGTCCGTCTGAGGGTCCAACTTGGGGAAAAGACCCTCTACCTCTCGCACTAGCTCCCTCGCGTTAGCGACATGGATTACGCTGGCGGCCATGGCTGTAAAGTGAGTGAAACCTATCGAAGCTAGAGCTTGTTCCTAGACGTTTACGGCGTCGTGATTGATCCGAAAGGAGGATTCCTGATTCTAGTTTACAATACTAGTGCTTTGGAAAGAGGCGAACCGAACACGTGTCTGCTCCATGGTTATTTGACGAGTCACGGTTGAGTGACAGTCGAGTAGCATAGCTCGTCGGGAAGGCAATTACCGCGTATAAGGAAAAACAATTTTCAGGGAGAAGTACTCCGATTTCACCGTCCATACAAGTGGTGACCAGCAGCTACTTCTTTATTTAGTCCCGTAAACTACAGAACAAGACCTCAAGGTCGCAAGCATGCCACCAAATTCTGCTGACCACGCCGGCCATGTGGAAGACGGTTGGAAGAAAAAATACGACGGAAGCGGTAGGCTAATTGATCCCGAATGGTTTCTAGGGAAGTGCAACGGTCGAGAAGTCTTCACCTTGGAACATCGGATGCAAGGATCAACAACAGCAACCTTGGAAGCGCATGGTGAGAAATGGTTGGTGCCAGGGCATCTCGATTGCAAGTTGAACCATGGCACTTGCGGGCGGAGAGGCACACATGCCAGCGCGCAGCTCGGTACACAGCGGTATTTTCTGTGGAAACCTTTTGACCGTAAAGCACCAGACAGAACCGTGGCTTGCTGGGCATTGAAGGGGAATGGGGCATGGTGATTTGCTGGGGCTTGCGGCTGGCCTGCCAACCAGACCCTGCTAGTGAAATTACCGCAAAGGTTCTTTGTGATTGGTGGTAGCCCCAGCTCAGACAGGGACTCAGATGATGTCGCGCTTTGGCTTGTGCAGGGGCGGGAATCGGGGGATTGACGACCACGATCGTTTCGGCTTGATGTTACCACATGTAACCAGTCTCTCGGAGGTTTTTTGGCGGTAAAACAGCTTCTGCGCCGCCGTCACAATGGTGGGCCTTCACATGTTGGCGCCAACTTGTGAAGGCTAAAGGAGCGAACCGCGTCATGGGCTGCAGCAGACCCCTGACCCGCAAGGCGATTTGCTTCTGACAAGCCTGAGCAAGCACCAATAGCAGGGGGACTCGACTGGCACGTACACCAAAATAAACAAGTGTATCTTTCTATGCAATCCCATGTATTGATATGAAACTATTATATTTCCTGAATTCGTTGCTTGCATATCTCTATCTTTATTTTAGAAAGTGTAATAGCCAGTTTAGATGGACGTAACTGAGACGGATGCTCCTAAACAGGTTATTTCCGACACCTATGTGCTTTGAATTCGACAAAACTTCACCCTTCCTCTCTTCCCTCTTGCAGACCCTGCCCTGTCTTCATCCTGACGTGGTTTCGGTCGGTTCAGTCAGACGGAGGGCGGAAGGAAGAACCATTGACAGGGAAACCCGCACCCCCTCGGGACACGCCATGCAGACAGGAGGGAGGCAAGGTGAATGGTTGCTGCGTTGGATCTAGATTTTAGTTCAAGCCGTGATTGGTCAATCGGTGCTGTGATTCCCCGTGGCAGATGCTCTGTGCAAATTCTCCTGAAACTGTTCGCTTGACCATCATGACCCGTGAGACGAAATCGGGATCGTTCTTCATCAACACCTCCCTCCCCCATTCCTTCTGCTCCTTGACTTTTTGTCTCCACTCTGGGTGAAAGGCTCCAAACACCACATTTGGCGCAGCCACAGTTGAATTGACGACTTCGCCAATTATGTCGTGAGCGTCGCCATCTCCCCCGAGAGTTTCGCTCAACGACGAGCTACTTGCCAACGTTACCAGCAGCAAATCCTATCTCAAGAATTTCGCGACTACTGTGTCGCACGCGCACTTCTCGATCCACTCCGCTCAGCGCAACGCACGCAACATCACATTTGCCCTGCGCCTGCCCTGCCCATCCCGCCTTCTGTACCGAATCGCGTCGTGGCGTGGTGTGGTACAGTACCCTTCGTCAGCTCAGCTCGGCTCGGCTCAGCTCGGCGGCACGTCGTGTGTACAAACGACGAGGCTTAGGTTTTTGTCTCAGGCCTCGTACTGTATTATTGTCTGGGGAAAGAGATGGCTATTTTGAAGCTGCTGCGCGAGCCGAAGAGAGAATTCGCAGATATTGATTAGGTTATCAATGACTCGAGCTAAGGGAAGCTGTGATCCGCGTTAAAAGCTCCGTTAGTAGCCGATAAAAGCTGCGTAAGATACATTGGAAGGTATGCAGCAGCCGATGCGACGGCAGACGATACATTGGTCGGCGGTTCGGCAGACGATTCGGCATACTAAACGTAGAATCTATGTTAAGGTTCTTATGGAATCTAGTCATTTCGACCACTAATTTTCCTGATTTTAGGAGGTCTACTAGGAGCTCTGATGCCTAAAAGTTCCACTGAACACTGACTTTTAACGTTCAGTACGTGGCTGTCAGTTCCTCGCTTTCCCGTCGCACGAGACAGACACCACCGCGCGCAGAGGAGCCCTTCCGATGCAGAGACCTATGATACAGTGTCCCCTGATGCAGTGTCCTTCGATACAGTGACCTCTAATACACTAACCTCTGATAGTGACCTCTGATTAAGTGAATTTCGATAGACTAATCCTCGATACAGTTTTTTCCAACACAGGAACCTCCAATAGCGCTCGGATTTTCAGCAAGTCGTTACTATCACGCCACTGCGAACGCGACGAGGCCGCTTTTCAGGCGCCTCAAAACTGTAACCACATCCTCAAAGAGTCTTTGAGGCCGATTGTAATCACATCCTCGTTTGAGGAACCTCCGACTGTAATCACATCCTCGTTTGAGGAACCTCCGACTGTAATCACATCCTCGTTTGAGGAACCTCCGACTGTAATCACATCCTCAACAAGTCGTTACCATGCCACTGCGGATGCGACGGAACGGCCCACTATGTTCCTCTTCCCTCATTCCCGCATCCGTCTGTCGCGCCCAAACCTATTTGCTCCGGAGCCGCCGCCGTCTCAACCATCGCGGCCGCCACGCTATCGGTTCTGTCCTTCCGCCCGCGGCCATTCCCCTTCCGCGCGCCGCTCCCCTTCCACGCTGCATTCCCCTCTCCCTTCCCCGCTGCTTGCGCGCACCCTTCGCTTCCTTCCGCCACGCGCTAGCAGCTCTCCTCCCGCTCGTCCTACTATCATCGATTCTCTCCGAGCACTTTGAATATACTATCTTGGAGAGTAGTACTTTTTTCCACGCGGCCTTCGCTGCGTCTCTCGACGTGCTGACGCCGAAGGGCGGCTGTCTGACGTCACGCTGCGTCACCTACACCCGGGGCCGGTGGTTATTGCCGTCGGGTACGGCTTCGGCGATTGTTAACGCGAATGGCAACCTGAACTACGAGCGGTACAAGGTGGGTAGCGCACGGTACAGCGCGGTTGGGTGCGGCGCAATGCGGTTGCCGTATTATCTACACTCGGGGCCGGTGGTTGTTGCCGTCGGGTACGGCTTCGGCTATTATCAACCCGAATGGCAACCTGAACTACGAGCGGTACAAGGTGGGTAATACACGGTGGAGTGCGGCTTAAAGCGGTGCTACGCGGTTGCCCTGTTAGGGTGTACGGCGTCGACGATTATCCGCGCGAATGGTAACATGAACTATCAAACGGTCCAAGGAGGGTGTTGCACGGCTCAGCCGCTTTAGTGCGGTGCTGTGCGTTTGTGCTGTGTTAGGGACACGGCGTCACTGATTATGAGCGCAAACGGCGGCGTCAAATGATAGCGTGGGAATGTGGGGTGGGTACACAGCAGTAACCAGTGACAACAGCGGTAACAGATCGAGTCCTTGCGCGTGTGTTTCCTCTCTTCTATCTCCTTCCATCTTCTCTCCCCTTCGTTGTCCCACTCAACGCGTTTCCCTCATCTCCGCCCATCCCCGTTCTCTCTGCGTTCCCCAGATGTTCCCGGCCTTGCCCCGTTTTTTCTCCCCATACCCCCACTGCTCCCAACAGCTCACAGACAGCACCGACGTGCTACCAAAGACCACCAGCCTCTCCCCTCTCCCCCCGTCCTCACCGCGTCCCTTCTCCCCTGTTTTTCCCCCCTTTTCCCCCCTTTCCCCCCTTTTCCCCCCCCTTTCCCCCCCTTCCCCCCCTTTCCCCCCCCTTCCCCCCCTTTCCCCCACTGCTCCCAACAGCTCACAGATTTCACCGACGTGATATTAAAGACCAAGGTACGCCTCTCCTCTCCCCACTCCTCTCCCCCCGCCCCTTCCCCCCTCTCCCCCTCCCCACCTCCCGCGCCCAAGTCCCCCCCATGCCTCGCGCGCTCTCCCCGTGCCTCACGCGCTCTCCCCGTGCCTCCCCGACCCACTTCTACTCCCCTCTCGTTCGTTCCCCCATCCCTCACCCTGTCTCCTCTCATTCCTCCTTGATTCTTTCCACTAGTTAGTGTTGCTGTCGTGACGGTTATGGCAACGTCATGCCCACGTCATTCCACGTCATGCCCACGTCATTCCACGTCATCCCCACGTCATGTCCACATCATGCGCGTACTCGTGTCTGTTTAAGATGCCGTGTAAAATCTGCGCACATTTTTTCTCGTGTGCATCGTCGAACGCGGACTGTTTATACACATCCTGTGTGCACTTCTTATCCGCTTTATTGCACAAACATTCTGCACATGCAGTAGCATCCATTTCATGTGTATTCCTCGCCTTTACGGGATGACTTTTGACCAGAAGACATTCTGCACAGGCTGTAGTACCCACATCGTGTGTATTGCCTCCCCTTTCGAGATGTCTCAAAAGACAAACAGTAGCATCCGTATCATGTGTATTATTACCTCCCCTTTCCTCCCTCGTCCTTCTCCCTTACCCCATCCACGTACAGGCCGTAATCGAGTTTTGGGCCAACTTAAAACTTCAATTATCCACATACAGACTGTCAACGCAAACGACTGCTACCAGACTTGTTCCCGAGCGTCTTGTGTGACGCGCCTCCCCTCCCCCGCCTGTCCTTTTCCCTTCCCCCATCCACATACAGGCAGTAAACGCAAGCGAGTGCTACCAGAATCCTCCCCCCCCCCCCGTAAAACGTTCCCCCTTCCCACCGTCTTCCTCCCCTCGTCTTCCTCCCTTCTTCCCCTCGTCCCCCCCATCCACATCCCTCTCCCCATACCCCATCCATATCCAGGTCATAAACGTAAACGCGTGCTGCCAAACATGCGCCAAAGCCGACGGGTGTATCTTCTTCCACTACGAGCCGCCTGTGTGAGTGAGTGTGTGTGTGTTGTGTTGCTCCGCTCCAGTGCTGCTATGTTGCTCCCCTTGAAAGCCTCTGCCACTCGAGGCCCCTTGTATATCCTCCTTTGTGCTGCTCTCTGCTCCACTGCCCCAAACTGTCCCAAGCTGACAAAGTATGCCTTCTTCCACTACCAGCCACCTGTGAGTGTGTGTGTTGCTCATGCTGTCCCTCCCTCCCTCCCTCCCTCGCTCCCTCCCTCCCTCCCTCCTCCCTCCCTCTCTCCCTCCCTCCCTCCCTCCCTCCCTCCCTCCCTCCCTCCCTCCCTCCCTCCCTCCCTCCCTCCCTCCCTCCCTCCCTCCTTCCTCCCTCCCTCCGTCCCCCCTCTCACCTTCATCCACCCCCAGCGTTCCCAGAAACGGTGTCTGCAGTGCCAAACAACCGGACGAAACACACTCCTTCCTCGCTTCCTCCCTTCATCCCTCTGCCCGTTCCTCGCTCCACCTCAACGTTTTTTTTCACGAGTAGTGCACCAAAACAAAGTATCCCCTCCTCCCTTCCCCTCTCTCCTCTCAACCACTCTCAGCGTCCTCGGCAACGGCGTGTGCAGGCTGCTAACGAGCCTGGCTAGGTGCACTGTAGGCAGCTGGTGGGGGTCAAGTACTCTACCTAACATCCCCTCCTCCTCCCCTGTCCTCTCATCCAACCCCAGTGTTCCCGGCAACGGTGTCTGCAGGCTGCTAACCAGCCTGGACAAGTTTACTGTAGGACCAGTAAAGTACCTAGAAAAACATCCCCTCCCCCCGTCCCTCCCCACCCCTCTCGCTCCTCTCAAACGCTCTCAGCGTTCCCGGCAATGGTGTTTGCCGACTCCTAACCAGCCTGGACAAGTTCACTGTAGACAACACTAAAATAACTGTCGATCCGTCTTATATCGGGGGCAGCTGCAACCCTCTGGCTGAAGTGAAGAACGACCCGCACTTCGTGGGTGCGGAGGGCACGCGATTTGATTTTCACGGAGAGCTGAATCGGTCCTTCTGCCTGCTGACTGACCGGAATTTTCATGTTAACATGGGCATCAAGGGGTATGAGGATGCGAGGCTGGTGGTGGGAGGGAGGAGAGGAGGTGGTGGAGGAGGGAAGAGAAGTCAGGGACTGCCCATACGCTCATGGATCAGGTATGGAAGGGTATTGTCCTGGCGTAGGTTTGTCCTGGGGTAGGCCGCGCTTTCATGGGAAGTGAAGAACGACCCGCACTTCGTTGGCGCGGAGGGCACGCGATTTGACTTCAATGGGGAGCTGAATCGCTCGTTCTGCCTGCTCACTGACCAGAATTTTCATGTGAACATGGGGATAAAGGGGTATGAAGACTCGAGGCTGGCGGTGGGAGGGAGGAGAGGAAGCGGCAGAGTTGGTAGCAGGAGAGGAGGGAAGAGAAGACACAAGCTGCCCATACGCTCCTGGATCAGGTAGGCATGGTAGTGTCCTGGGGTAGGTATTACTTGGGAGCGTTACTTGGGAGGGAGGAGAGGAGAGAAGGGAAGACACAAGCTGCCCAAACGCTCCTGGATCAGGAAGGCATGGTATTGTCTTGGGCTGGGTTGAGGTGACTTTTGAGTCGACTCAAAAGCCATACGCTCCTGGATCAGGTAGGCAAGGTATTGTGTTGGGCTGGTAGGCGAGGTAATGTCTTGGGCTGGGTTGGGCTTTCACGGGGAGTTTAACCGCTCGTTCTGCCTGCTGCTTTGGGTCAAGACCTTAATAAAAACTTAAACTTCGTTCTGCCTGCTGGCTGACTGACCGGAATCTGCAAGTGGTTGGAATGCTGCGGAACTTCAAGATTCTATAGGTTTTGTCGTTAGTACTCGTGCCTTTAAGAACCCCCAGCTGCATATCAACCTTTAATATTCGTGCCTTCTTTTTAACTAGTAGTATTTCTTTGTCATTTTTTCGCGTCTTTGCTCCTGCCATCCAGGGAGCTCTACATGACGTGGCGAGATCCCATTGGTCGGCAGCACTCGGTGTTCCTCAAAGCGCGGGACGGCAAGGAGCAGACGCGGGGGAGGACGGGGTTTATTGAGAGGATGGACGTGGATGGGCGACCTTTTACCCCACCTACTGAGGTAACTTGCTGTTACGAGCCAGACATTGAGACGGCAAGGAGCAGACGCGGGGGAGGACGGGGTTTATTGAGAGAATTGTGTTGGACGGGCGACCTCTTACCCCACCTACTCAGGTAACTGGTAGCAACCTGTAGGGTACTCAAAGCACGGGATGACAAGGGACAGTTTTTTCTCTTTTAGTTTCTCCTTATTACCTGCACTGCTCCCCTCCCAATCCCCTCTTTCTTCCTTCCCCTCCACCCCTCCCCAGGTAGGGCAGGCAGTGCGTGGGGAGGGGGCCTTTCACATGGTGCTTGTATCGGCCACACCCATGGGGGATGGCAAGGACAGAGACACATACCAACCTTCTCTTTCCCTCTCCTCATCCCCCCCATTCCCTCCACCCCTCCCCAGGTGGGTCAGGAAGTGCAAGAAGAGGGGGCCTTTCACATGGTGCTTCTATCGGCCGCACCCATGGGGGATGGCAGGGACAGGGACACATACCGCCTGAGCGTGGGGGGAGTAGCAAGCATGGAGCTATCACTGCATGCCGCACACCCACTCCTACAAACGGAGGAGGAGGCTCACACACACTTCAACGTTTACATTAAATACCTCAATGTGAGTACAAGTGGCAAGGACAGAGACAGGGACACATACTGCGTGCGCGTGGGGGGAGTAGCAAGCATGGAGCTCTCCTTGCATGCGGCACACCCACTGCTGCAGACGGAAGAAGAGGCTCACACTCACTTCAACGTCTATATTAAATACCTTAATGTGAGTGAGTTTCATATGTTGTTTTTATGCATATATTTGTGTACACATAGACTTTTACTGTTCTTTGGCTTCCTGTTTACGCTGGACTGTTTGCATTCAGTTAGTTGCTAGATAGCTTGATGTGGTGTGAGAATGAGGGTACATTCCGGGCTCTAAGCTAATCTCTGGTCAAACTTCTGGTTAACAATATAGCCAACCTTACAATTAGCACAATTGGTGAGAAATAGGCATGAATTCGGTTGACCAGAGGTCCTGACCAGAGCACTGATTGTACCCTGACAATGCAACATTGTTTACCCTTCATCACACCAAAGGGGCCCCACACATGCCCCGTCCATGCAACCCGTTTCTGCCTCTTGTGTTAATGTTACCTTATTACCCTCTCTTTTTCTCTCTCTGTTAACCCTTCATCACACATAGATTTTTGCGCCTTGTGTGTATTGTTACCAAATGCAAACCCCTATTTTGTTCTCTCTGTTTCCTTTTTCAATGGACTAACCAACAGAACACCAATGCAGTGCATGGCGTACTGGGCCAGACTTTTCGAGGGGAAGTTACCCGGTCTAAAAGAGCAGAGGAGTACGGGCTTCTGACTAGGCTGCTGAGAGCGCCGATTCAGGCTGACGGGGAGACAGGGCGAGGTTTTCTGGATGGTGGCGTGGAGGACTATGCCACGTCAGCAATCGATGCTGCTGATTGTGCGTTTTCCACGGCATGGAATGAGGCTCAGAAGAGGAAGCAGGAATATGGTTTGACCTGGGAGGTGGGGAAAGAGCAAGAAAGGCAGGAAAACAGAGAGGGCATTAGGGAGAATGACAATTACAGGGGTGATATGTGGGGAAGGGTGGGGCAGATCAGAGACTCGGCAACAGGCCGGGAGAGTATTACGAGTTTTGCCCGTCACAGGGAACATCTGGTTTATGAGATCTTTCACTAAGGTTGGTGCAAACTTTAGACCTAGTACCCTTGGGTGTATATACATATAGCTATTAATCCACGAGATATGCCAAGAGTTGATGCTTTGGAGATGCTAAGAATCCTGACATACAGCTGGCTTACACGTGGTAACTTGGATGTGACTGCCACGCCCAGAGCCCCCAGGTGAATAAATGTTGTATAGACCTTAACGACGGTAATATACATGGCTCCAGTGTGAGAGACTGGCATTTAACATAAGAACTTCTGGTGAAACGGTGACTGATATTCGGAAAAATCACCAAACCCGACGGCTTTCGGATTTGTGTCAAATCGGTCGACCACTCGTGCTCCACGTCAGCACTATTTCGAATTCCAAAACTCCGAACGACCGACCCAATTTCTACACTTTCAGGCACGAATTGGTCACTCTGACGCCATAATTACTTCTGCGTTAGGGTTCCTCGAATTTCGAAGTATGTGGGTGGTAGAGTCTGTCGCGTTTTGTCGAGTCAGCAAGCTGACTGCGGGCAAGAAAAAAACAAAACCCACTCGGATGGCATGCCATCTGAGGGAGCCTCAACCCTAAAATTTTAGGGTTGAGGCTCCCGAATGGCATGCCGTAAGCCATGGGTTTATTTTTTTTGCCCGCGGTTAGAATGCTGACTCGGTCGGTAGCGCCGGCCTTTTTTCCCGCGCTAGGTGGCATTGAATGCTGGAAGGACCAAATCGGACCAAATCGCAATCTCCGACAAAGTTACGTACCTGTGGTGACACACTCAACACCAACCGATAAACATTATACCATACCGCGTAAGCTATTGTAGGGTCGATCGGAGTTTTGGAATTCGAAATAGTGCTGACGTGGAGCACGAGTGGTCGACCGATTTGACACAAATCCGAAAACCGTCGGGTTTGGTGTTTTTTCCCTGATATTCAGTGTACTTGAACTTAGAGCGTATTCCTATCCTTGTATCAAGAATACCTCATATCAACCTCCCACTGAAAATTCCCCTAAACCCAAAACCTCTTGCTTGTTTTACCAGGCAAAAAGTACATTCTTGATATGAGGTTCCAATTGACACGAGGATAGGAATACGCTCTTAGCCGAAGCGGGTGCTCCTGAGACTTTGTAAAAGGGATGATTCCGACCAGGCCCTCAGATTCGTTTTTGGCCTGTCTGATTCGTCAGACTAGTACACAATTTTAGTCTGAAAATCTCAGACTTGGTATAAAAAAAAGGCTGAAATATCAGAGTGCCTTAAAAAAAAGTCTGATCATTCAAAATCAATGTATTCAATGTTTCATCGGAAGTGTATTCAATGTTTCATTCATTTGCTACCGAAACATGCTACACTAGGGGGGGATTTTCGATGAAACGTGCTCTGACAGGGCGAATATATGTGTCAGGGCGAATCTTGTGGTGCGAAAAGGCGAATGTGCAATGTCAGGGCGATTTTGCTGTGATTGGGCGAAAATTGAAGTGCTATGACAACGCAAATCTGTTGTGTCAGGGCGATTTTGCTATGATTGGGCGAAAATCTTGTGATGTAACGACGTGTTGCGACCCACCCGGGTCGGGTCGGGTCGACCAGGTCGGGTAGACCCGACCCGACCCAACCCAACCAAAAGGCGACTCGAGAAAACAAAGAATTTCCCGTTGCCTTCTCAGCAAATTCGAAGTAAAGAGAAAGCAAGTGCTCCGCAGGTGGAAGGTGGGCGAGGCAATGTTTGGCGATATTACCGGGTATCTTTTTGTTAAACGAGATGCAGGCGACATCCGCGCGAGATCTACAAATTTCGCAAGCTCGGGTAACCTGCTCCAGCTCGGTAGGGTTGGGTCTGGTCGGCCTGGTTGACCCGACCTGGTCGACCCGGGTTGGCCCGGGTCGACCCAACCCGGGTTGGGTTGGGTCGGGTCGACCTGGTCGGGTAGGTCGGCAGTGCGGGCTTCCTAGAAATTCGGGATCGGGGGATGGTCGACCCGACCCGGGTGGGTCGCAACACGTCGTAAGGCTCAGATGTTCTGTGTCAAGGCGATTTTGCGTTGGCAGTGCGAATCTGCTGTGACCCGTATGTCAAGGACGCGTTTGTACTCTGAATGATCAGAGTACACTCTCAGAAAACTCTGAACTCTCAGAGTTAGCCTTAAAAAAAGTCTGAAAATTACAGAGTTGAGGCCCAAAAAAGTCTGATTTTATCAGAGTACACAGGAAAAAAAATCTGAAATATCAGAGAAAAAAGTCCAAATCAGAGAAAAAAGTCTGACTTCTGAGGGCCTGATTCCGAGCACACTGCCTCCATCCCGACAAAACCCTCACCCAACACTGCTTTCCACTTGCAGGCCGTGTCAACATTTTCCTAACAGTTTCTAGTTGGTTAGGTCGGAGGGGGCAGAAGAATCCAGCCAGCTGTTTCCTCCCATTCCCGCCAAAACCATTGAGCACCCCAACCAACCGCGCTGCTGGTGCCTAGGGGAATGCTGGTGCTGTTGAATTTTGAAATGCTGCCTCGAATCTAGGCCAAACCGTGATTGGTGAATCAGTGTTTTGGTCCCTCGGGCCAGACAAACTCCGGACCTCATTCCACACCACACCGCAGATGCTCCGTGCGAAATCCCCTGAAGCTGTTCACTTGACCGTGGTGGTTCATTACGAAATCGAGATCGTTATGCCCGTAGTACAGTACTTCATTGTGGAGGGCCGACCACAAGCCGCAACCACAGTTCCATCGATGAATTCGCCAGCGTTCGTGAGCGTCGTCATCTTTCTCCAGTTTTTCGCCCCACGTCAAGCTGCACGCCAAAGTTATGTGTACCAACAGCAAATTCGATTTCGCGCAATTATCGCGACCACTATTTCGCATGCGTGTTACCCACAACAACGTTTGCGTTCAGTTCCTGAATCCTGCCCAGCTCATCCCACCTCGGGGTTATTGTAGCCAGCCAGACATCTTCCCCCCAGCCAGCACACCGATTGGTGTTATGGTCGGAGGGTCGATAACTGAAGGGCAACTCAACCACATTCTACCGGATTAAAAAGTTATAAGATTTACTGAAACCACGTGAAACCCATTTTGTTTCTGAACCACTGCCAGCTAACTTCCGCTTTTCCTGTGAGGACCGCGCTAATTACAGCACAGACAGGATTTACGTTAGCTACTGGTCACTGTCACCGTATGGCGGTGCCTCTGGTCGGCTCGGCTTATCGTCGTGCCTCTTGTTCTTGTACTATGTGCGTGCTCACGAGATCTATATAGGACGGCCCTGTAGGCATGGGGAACTATCGTGCCTTAGGTTGGTTCAAGCCTTCTAATTCGAGAGAGACATTGCTATTCTGGAACTGCTGCTGAAAAGCTGTAACGTAGCTTTGTCATAAGTCGAGCCAATTTGACATGCACCCTCGATGCGCCGCGAAAAGAGAGGTCAGACGCGAGGTGCCCCGACGATCCGCGTTAGAAGCTCTGTTGCGAGCCGTTAAAAGCCGCGTTAGAACGTTCCGTGGTAAAGGATGCGGCAGTCGATGCGGCAGCAGACGATTCGGCACAAGCGCAGAAGCTATGGTAGTAAAGTACTTATCGGATCTAATTCGTTGGACCACTAATTTTCCTGATTGTATGAGGTCTAGGAGCTGATCTAAATTGCCGATCAGAGTTGCCGACCGAAGTTCCTCCGAACACTGACCTGTAGCATTGCGCATAGTATACGTGGTTGTCAGTCCTTCGATGTCCCGTCGCACGAGGCAGCCACCATTTCGCGCACAGAAGCACTTTCGATACAGTAACCCCAGATACAGTATCGTCTGATACATTGATAAACTTTATTTGTTGATAATCTCCAACAAAGGCATCCCCGATAGTGATCAGAATCTCAGCAAGCCGTTCCCACATGATGTCAATGCGAACGCGACGGGACCACCTATGTTCCTCTTCCCTCATTCCCACATCTGTCTGTCGCTCCCAACCCTATTCTCTCCGAAGCTGCCACCGAACCTGCCGCCGTCGCCGCCGATGCTGCCGGCTTTATCATCGCGCTCCCCACGCTTCTGGTGCTGTCCCTGCGCGCGCCAATTCCTTTCCGCGCGCCACTTTCCTTCCGCGCGCCATTCCGCTCTCCTCTCCCCGCTGCTCGCGCGCACCCGTCGCTTCCTTCCGCCGCGCGCTAGCAGCTCTCCTCCCGCTCGTCCTGCTGACATCGACTCTCACAATCACTAATCCCCCTTGCCACGTGGCCCTCGCTGCCACTCTCGACGTGATGACGCCGAAGGGCGGCTGTCTGACATCACGCTGCGTCAGCTACACCAAGGGCAGGTGGCTTTTGCCGTCGGGTACGGCGTCGACAATTATCAGCGCGAATGGCAACATGAACTACGAGCGGTACAAGGTGGGTGTTGCACGTTGGAGTGCGGCTGGGTGCGGTACAACGCGGATCTCTTGTTAGGGGTACCGCGTCGACGATTATCAGCGTTACGAGCGGTACAAAGTGGATATTGCACGGGAAAGCGCGGCTTAATGCGGTGCAATGCGTTTGTCCTGTTTAAGGACTCGGCGTCACTGATTACGAGCGTGAACGGGGGTACAAAATTGTGGCGGTAGAAGGTGCATCGGAAGGTGGATCGGAAACAGCAGGAACGGCGAGTAAGTGCGGGTAACAGCGGGGAACAGCGGTAACAGTGCTGGTACAAACAACAGTGACAACGACAACATTGGTAACAGCGGCTAACAGCGGGTAACACAGAGAGTCCTCGCACGTTTGTTTTCCCGCCTCCATTTCCCGCCAACCCGTCTTCCCTTGGTAATTCCACTCAAACCATGTCCCTCATCCGTCCCTGTCCTCCCGTGCCCTCCCCTGCCCTTCCCACTCTCCCCCCTGTTCTCCCCCCCCCCTTTCCCCTTTTCCTCCACTGCCCCCGGCAGCTCATAGACAGCACCACCGTGATACTAAAGACCACGGTACGCCTCACTCTCGCCCTCTCCCCCCTCTCCGCCCTCTCCGCCCTCCCCGCCCTCTCCGCCCCCCCCACCCTCCCCGCCCTCCGCCCTCCCCGCGCCCCCACCCCCCGATCCGCTTCCACTTCCCTCTTGTTCCGCCGCCCATCCCATCCCATTGTCTCCTCCCTTCCCTTCCATCCGCTGATTCCTCCTTCTGCCTCCACTCATTCTGCCGCCATTGTCCTGTCTCCTGCTATTTCGCCATGCTGTTATTACGCTTATGCCCACGTCACGCCCACATCATGCGCGTATTCCTCTTCCCCGTCCACATACAGGCCACGAACGAGAACGGCTGCTGCCAATCCTTTGCCCTAAACTGTTCTCCTTGCTCACCTTCTCCCCTTCCTCTCGCCCTGCCCCCCTCCTCGTCCCTCCTCCCTCTATCACGTACAGGCCACAAACGAGAACGGCTGCTGCCAAACGTGCGCGCAAGAAGCCCCCTTCCCCATCTTCCCCCCCTCTTCTTCATCTCATCCCTCCCCCCTTCGTCCCCCCCCCTCCCCCCTCCCACGTACAGGCCACAAACGAGAACGGCTGCTGCCAAACGTGCGCGCAAGCCGACAAATGCGTCTTTTTCCACTACCAGCCGCCAACGTGAGTGCTGCTGTGCTGCTGTGCGGCTGTGCTGTGCTGCTGTGCTGTGCTGCTGTGTTGATACATCCCACGAGTAGTGCAGACGAGTACTTTAAACAATATTACTTTAAGCAAGTACTGTACAGCACCTAACTCTATCCCTTTCACCCTCTCTCCCCACGCGTCTCCTTGCAACCAATTCCAGCGTTGCCGGCACCGCCGGGGCCTGCAGGCTCCTACCCCTTCCTCTCTTCCTCTCCTCATCCCTTTGTCTGATCCTCCGTCCCCCCAACGTTCCCCTTATCCCCAGCGTTGCCGGCACCGCCGGGACCTGCAGGCTGCTACCCAGCCTGACCAAATTCACTGTGGACAACACTATAAGGAGCGTCGCGCCGTCTTATATCGGGGGCAGCTGCAACCCTCTCGCGACCGTGAAGAACGACCCGCACTTCGTGGGCGCGGAGGGCACGCGATTCGACTTCAACGGGGAGCTGAACCGGTCCTTCTGCCTGCTGACGGACCGAGACTTGCATATCAACATGGGGATTAAGGGGTATGAGGATCCGAGGCTGGTGGTTGGTGGGAGAAGAGGAGGGTGGAGACGACATAAGCTGCCCATACGGTCCTGGATCAGGTACGGAAGGGGATTTCAGGTGTAGAGTGCAAAGGGCATACCAATATGGGTATCAAGGGTTATGAGTGGGAGGGGGCGTGTCGTAGATTGTATGTAAAGTGGTTCTAATGCTGTACGGTGCGGTATGGTGGGCTCTAATGCACATTCGATTACTCTGAGATTTTTATAGATGAAGAAACTCCAACTGCACTGCATATTTTAGTCTTCTTACCAAAGAATGTTGAATCGTACTTTCTTGTTTCCCTGTCTCTGCCATCCAGGGAGCTCTACATGACGTGGCGAGATCCCATTGGCCGGAAGCACTCAGTGTTCCTGAAAGCACGGGATGGCAGGGAGCAGCGGCGGGGGGAGAGGGGATTCATTCAGAGGATGGAGATGGATGGGCGATCAACAACCCCTCCTACCAAGGTAACTGGTGGTCTCCTGTGGGGTATTTACAGGCAGCAATAGACAGCTCAAATCATGCTGATTCTTTTTAAGAAATTGCGATCCTTTTGGCCGGGCTAACCCAGGGGCAATTTGCGTAGACGTTACTGTCTTCTCCCGTCCCCTCTTCCCTCCCCTCCCCCTACCCTCTCCCCTCTCCTCTCCCTTCCCCGCCCCATCCCCATATCCTCCCCCTCCCCTCCCCCTGCCTATCCTCCCCCCTCCCCCAGGTTGGTGAGGCAGTGCAAGGAGGGGAAGAGTCCTTTCACATGGTGCTTTTATCGGCCACAGTCATGGGACACATACCAACCCTCTCCCTCTCTCTGTCTTCCCCTCCCTCCCCGCCCTTTCAGATGGGTGAGGCAGTGCAAGGGGAAGGGTCCTTTCACATGGTGCTTCTATCAGCAGCGCCCATGGGGGATGGCAGGGACAGCGACACATACCGCGTGCACGTGGGGGGAGTAGCAAGCATGGAGCTCGCCTTGCATGCCGCACACCCACTGCTGCAGACACCGGACGAGGCACACATACACTTCAACGTCTATATCAAGTACCTCAATGTGAGTGTTCTTAAGTGAAGAACAAAAAATAAAAAGAAACAAAAAAGAAAGAAAGAAAGAAAGAAAAAAACGTTGTCTTTCCAGAAGCTCTCTTAGGTCCTTGTGGTTCTCTCTTGTCTAACCCTTTTCTACACCTCATGTTGCCACATAACCCTCAGTTCTTATATCTGTTTCTTTTCCTATTAAAATACAACAGAACACAGAGGCAGTGCATGGTGTACTCGGGCAGACTTTTCGAGGGGAAATTACCCGGGCGAAACGCGCAGAGGAGTATGGGTTGCTGACTAGGCTGCTGAGAGCGCCAATTCAGGCTGATGGGGAGACGGGGCGAGGCTTTCTGGATGGTGACGTGGAGGATTATGCCACGTCAGCGATTGATGCTGCTGACTGTGCGTTTGCCACGGCATGGAATGAGGCTTGGAAGAAGGTTCGGGAGGAGCAGGAGGGTACTGTAGTGGCTGAGGAGGAGGCTCGCGGGGAGGTTGGGGAGGCTCAGGAGGAGGCTTGGGAAGAGGTTCGGCGAGAAAACGTGGCGAATTTGCCAGAGGAGAGTAGAATTCAGGGGTCTGAAGAATATAGAGAGGAAGGAGATGCAGGGAGAAGGGTAGGAGGGAATGGGGAGAAGAGGAAGCAGCAGCAGGATTATTTGACTGGCGGGGAGATGGAGGAAGAGGGAGATTTTAAGGATGACATTAGGAAGAATGGCAGTGGCGAGATGGCAGCTGACAGAGAACAACTGGTTTATGAAATATTCCAATAAGGTTAGTGTATACCCATAATACCGTACATGGTTTGGTTGTATAAATAATGAACACAATGAGTTGCAGATTTTCAATTTGAAAATAAGGTTGCTTAGATTTGTATCACATATATAATTGACATACCCGTAGTTCCCAGCAGAGCCTTCTGCCAACACTTACCGGTAACATTTGTGTTTTATTACCGTATATCCTCTACCAACACATCTTTGCCTTACAAAAGTCACTTCTACTAAAGCCAGCTACCCATTCTCAGTAGCTAAGGCAGCTACCGCTGTTACAGCAGGTACGGCAAGGTATGGCAAGGTATGGCAAGGAACGGCTGGGTGAGAGTACAAACACATGCCCCAAAAGTTCCCAGCCGCCTCTGTGCAGCATGCGAAGCAGGTGCAGCAGGTGCGACAAGCAGGTATGGCAGCTCCGGCAGGTACGGCAGCTACAGCAGGTACGACAATAACCGCAGGTTTGGTAGCGGTAACAGCAGGAGGTACGGCAACTGCAGGAGGTTCGGCAGGAACGGCAGCTACGGTAGGCGGTTCGGGGAGAGCGCAAACGTGATGCCCCAGAGGAAAACGAGCGTGCAGAGAAAGGCGGCGAACTGAAGCGCTGGGGACTGCTGCAGGTACACACCGGCTCGCTGCAGGAGGGGAAGGAACGGAAGTAAAGAGAAGAAAAGGGCCAGGGTAAGAGGTGGGGCGGGATGACTTTTGTGTCGACTCGAGAGAGGAGGAGCGTGCAGAGAAAAGCGGCGAAGTGAAGCGCTGGAGACTGCTGCAGGTACACACCCGCTCGCTGCGGGAGGGAAGGGCGTGGGAGGCCCAGGGGACGGGAGAGTGGGGGAGACTTTGAGACAACGACATGCGGAGGGCTGGCGACTGCTGCAGGCACACACCCGTTCGCTGCAGGGGCGCGAAAGAGCAGGAGAAGGAGCAGGATGGACGTCTGTGCGAGACCCGGGGATGGGGGGAGAAGGGTTGAAGGCGGAGAGGTGGGGGGAGGGAGAGCTCGTGCCGCACCACGCTAGACGGAGGGACGGCGGTTGCTGCATGTTCCAGCCTAGGAGAAGGGTAAAGAGACGCGGAGAATAAAGAGAGGGGGTTGGCGTTGGGTGGGGCCCGGGCAGTTTGAGGCAAACACGAGGCACACGCTACACGGAGGGGTACGGCTGCGCGCAAGTAATCGCAAGTAACGAGGGCGGAGCTTTGGAGTTGGATGTCAGGGGGACGGGAAAGGAGGGAAAAATGCCGCGAAGAATCGAACAGTTGAGTCAGAGTCGATACGAGTGGAGTCAATCCGACATGTTTTTCCACAGCGACTAAATCTCTTTTTTTTTTTTTTTTTTTTTTTTGGGAGTTGAGTCTTGGCTACGACGAACCGCCAGAAGGATCCGGAATCCGGACAACGAAAAGCACGACGCAGCGCGACGGGGGCATAAGGAACAGGGGTAAAGAGAGATCACGGACTAACCACGAAGAGGCTGTTGGATCGCCGTCGCTTGTCGTTGTTGTAGGGATTATCCTCGATCTGGAAACAGTTCATCTTCGCGGCATCTTGCGGCAACATTTGAGCACATTGCGAAAACATGGGGATTCGACGTCTCGAAGCGCGGACTAACCACGAAGAGGCTGTCGGACCGCCGCCGCTTGTCGTTGTTGTAGGGGCTATCCTCGACCTCGAGACAAGCTCATTTGAAGCTAAGAAATGAGGCGAGGGGCAATGAGTGAGGGGAAAGGAGCAAGAAGCACTTTTACTAACCACGAAGAGGCTGTTTGATCGCCGCCGCTTGTCGTTGTTGTAGGGGCTATCCTCGACCTCGAGACAAAACCAGACTCAAGTGAAGCAAAGAAATGGGTCGAGGGGCAAGTAGCGAGGGAAACGGCGACTGACCACGAAGAGGCTGTCCGCCGCTTGTTTTTTATTTTAGGCACCGTACGTCTTTAGAAGTTTCAAAGTAAAAGCACAGCACGGACTGACCACGAAGAGGCTGTTGGACCGCCGCCGCTTGTCGTTGTTGTAGGGGCTGTCCTCGACCTCGAGACAGGATCATTTGAAGCCAAGGTAATAAAGCAAGGGGCAATGAGGGAGGGAAAAGGAGTAAGGGGAGAGGAGCAGAAGCGCTTCTACTGACCACGAAGAGGCTGTTGGACCGCCGCCGCTTGTCGTTGTTGTAGGAGCTGTCCTCGATCTGGAAAAAGTTCATCTTCGCGGCATCTTGCGGCAACATTTTGAGCACCTTCCGAAAACATGGGGATTCGACACGTCTCAAAAATGGAAACTCAGGAGAAGGACGGACTAAGACTAACCACGAAGAGGCTGTTTGATCGCCGCCGCTTGTCGTTGTTGTAGGGACTGTCCTCGACCTCGAAAGAGCTCATTTTCGCAGAACCTTGCGGCACCATCGACGCCGCAGACGACGAGTCCTCAGACGACGCTTCCGCCACGACAGTCGAAGTAGCCAGAGCGGCGATCCGCAAAGGAAAAGACTTATGAGCCGACTCGAAAAACGCGACTAGGAGACTAGGAGCGCGACTTGGGAACTAGAGAAAAATGGAGGATTGTCGAAGGATCAAGTCCAATATGTGCGCTCGCAGGCCAGCTGTGAGTTTCCCCTGGGATTTGCTTCGGGGGATTTTCGTTCTCGTCGCGCTATTCGCGCTATGTGTGCTTGGCGGGAAGATATTCCCAGGGTACCCTCAGCCGCCCTTCGTCCTCGCTTTTATCCAATCAGTGATTAGACGCGTGTGGTGACTTGGCGTTCAGTCCCGCCTGGACGGAGAACTTTGTTGAGGCGTGGCCTGAGCGGCGTGACATGATTGGTCAGATTTTTATGGAATCTCCAACCCCCGCAGACCAGGCCAATTTGTGATAAAACCTGGAAGTGTTAAGGGAAAATATGTCAATGGTAACTTACATGGGGCACTAAAACGCGTACGGTAACGATTTCAACGCGTTTGGTAACTCGCTTAACGCGTTTGGTAACCTGCTTAACACGTTTGGTAACTCGTTTAACACATTTGGTAACTCTACACTAGCAGCCCATCACAAGAATGGTAACTACATGAAATTCCCACCGAAATTGAGCCTGATTCTGGTTTTTCCCGCTCGCGTCAGAATAAATTGACAAATCCTGAAGCAGAAAATTCTGACACACTCTCCGAAATTCTGACACAAAGTTCCGAAATTCTGACACACTTTCCGAAATCCTGACACACTTTCCGATTTTCAGGCAAATTACAAAAACGTAAGTTTTGTGAAAACAGCTTTTCTTACATAAATGTTTCTGGCGCACTTTCCGCAAACTGTTTGTACTTTATTCTATCTTGCAGTCGGGGCAAACAAATCTATATCCCTTTCAGATGGCAAATAAATTTGAGAGCAACAACCTTAAACTTCCTTCGACCATGAGTTTATGGATCTTTATTTTAAAAAATGAAAGATGTAATTTTAAAAAGGTTTTTTTTTTCACATGAAAAAATCTTCCAACGTTGCAGTATTAATAAAAAAATTAAAATTCCCTATGTCCTTTCGGGAATAGTTTTATTTATCATTTTGCAAGTTCGCAATCATGCTATCAAAATATGATGTTATCCATTTTTGTACGAGCTACATAATTATATATAAATTCTGAACTTTTCGGTCCGTGGTAATAGAACAAACGGGGTCCTTAATTTTCGTGGCGGGACGCGTTCAAGAAAGATAATGATGTGCGTAAAAGCTCTCAAACTCGATAAATTCCTTATTTTCAGGAAGATTTCGGCGGGAATTTCATGTAGTTACCATTCGCGTGATGGGCTGCTAGTGTAGAGTTACCAAATGTGTTAAGCGAGTTACCAAACGTGTTAAGCGAGTTACCAAACGCGTTAAGCGAGTTACCAAACGCGTTGAAATCGTTACCGTACGCGTTAATGTGCCCCATGTAAGTTACCATTGACATATTTTCCCAAGTGTTAATGTTTCGGAAGGCAAAGATACATGTCTATCTCACATCACAATACAACCTTTTGTACAGCTTGTAAACCACATCAGGCGGAGCTCTAAATATGTAAGCGCTCGCTAGAATAACGTTAGCTACGGTGGCTTGAAATGCACCCAGGTGCTCAAACCTCCGCCCGCTTGTAACCACCACTCGCGGAAGCATAACCATCTCACCGCCACGTTTAATCCTCAGCTTCTCTTCACCATCAGAATCTCCAACGCCACCTAGAGAATATCTGCTAACTGGCATGGTTCGTTGCCAGCCATCCACATGAATCCTCTCTGACAGGTCAGCATCTTCCAATATGGCTAGCCTCTCATCAAACCCTCCAATGCGCACGAAGTCTTGTGCCCGGCAGAACATGGCTTGGTCTCCATACAGCATGCGCATGCCCCGAAGGAACGCCCGAACACCACTAAACCATGCAGAACCCGTATCACTAATCTCGCAGGTTATGGTTCCAATGCCACTGCTGCTGCCACCACCACCACTACTGCTGCTGCCAGTGCTGGTGTCACCACCACCATTACTGCTGCTGCTGCTGCCACTGCGGCTGCCACTGCAGGTGCTGCTGCTGTTGTTGATGGTTCTGTTGCTGCTGCTTTTGCTCTTGAGGCCTGCCTTACCAGCACCAAGCAGTTGCGCATACCGTGGGGGGGCAAGCAGCGGCACATACCAGGTCTTGGCCACGTTCCGAAGACACATGCCCCAGAAGACTCGCCCCGGCACAGCCACCACGGGCACAAAGCCCCCACAGCACACTGACTGGTCTTGCAGTGTGCTTCTAACGAGTGTGACAAGATCCAGCGGCACCAGCGTGTCAGCGTGAACGAAACAGAGAATGCCGCTGCTTGTGCTGCTTCCACTTGCACTGCTCCCACCCATGCTGTTTCCACTGCCTTGCTCCTGCACCTGCTGCATCAGCTGCACTGCCTTCCATGCGCCTGTGTTCATCTGAACCGACCTGCCTCTGTCACTGCCCACCACCACCGCGCCCAGAGATTCAGCCAAGCGCGGTGTGCCATCTGTACTTCCGCCGTCGGAAACAATGATGCCGGCTGGCCGCGGGGAGAGCTTTGACAGGTGGCGCAGCGTGATTGGCAGCGCTGATGCTTCGTTAAGAGCAGGAATAACTATGTACACTGGTGGTGAAGCTTCAACCTGTTTGGTGTCCCCTGATTGATTCCCACCATTTTCATGATTCTCACCATTCCCACCAGCATCTTCCACCTCTTCTTGAGACATCTCAAACCTTGAAAGAGTGGCTTCCCCTTGTTTATCCCCCCCCATACCTCCGCTTCCCCCTTTTCCTCCCTCTCCCCCTCCGCCTTCCCCTCCGCCTCCCCCTCCCCCACTTCCCGCACCCCCGCCCCCTCCCACTTCGAACAGCGCCCCCCAGTCGCGAGGAGCGGATCCTGGCCGTCCATCCATCCCGCGATGGCACGCATACGTGACAAAGACGGCAGATGCGGCAGTGGTGCCGACTGCCGCGAATGCCGCCGTGCCGCCCAGAAGCAGCAGACCGAGGCGCACGGCGGTGCGGAATGTTGCTGCCGTTGATGCCGTCGAAATTGGCGGAGGATCGGAAGCGGGATGGTGCTGTGAGGATATGAGCGTGAAATGCGGAGGGAAGGAGCAGGGATCGCGAAGCGGCGATCGCGGAAGGTGAATCGGAATGGCCCCTCGTCGCCTGAAGGGAGTGCTGTCGCCGGGCTGCCATGCGACGATGATGCGACTATTCTGACGACGCGCTAGTGGGGAACATGCGACCTGGTCGTGAGGTCGCTGTTGCGACGCGAATGTGTCAGGAGGACAAAGAGGCCTCTGAAATCGGTGCTGACTAAGTCGCAGCATGGTAACGGCGTTCATCGCTGGATGAATCGCGAATGCAACGAGCTGGTCGGCGTTATTCGATTGATCGATCGGCGCGGTCAATACCTACGACCCGCGGAGCGCGGACGGGGATGTCTTATGCATTTTATGCCTCCTTAGGTCATAGAGTCTCTTCATTATGTCGCAGTCTCGTTGGGGCGTCTGACTACGGTTCAGTAAGGTTCATTGGGGCGTCCACATATTTCCAGTACGGTTGAGCTCGTATCAAGCGAAAATGAAAAGCCGAGTGTCATTAAGGCTGGCAAATTTAAGCACCACCAAAAGATCCTTCACTATTAGTACAGAGAACGGTGAAATAAAACTTCAAGCTACAAATGACAGGGAGCACAACTGCCTGGACCCCGTTCCCCCGCGACAGCTGTCCCAACCGTTCCCCAACCGTTCCCCAACCATTCCCCCCACCACACAAGTACCCCCCCCATTTCCCCCAAATCCCCTTCCCCATCTTCCCCTTTCTCCGCTTCCCCCTTCCCCCCTTGTTTTTCCAGGCCTAGACTCTAGAACCTATTTTGCCAGGCACTATCCAAGTTCTGAAGCTGCTCTAACCAGCGGCATCCCCGTCGCGCCCCGATTTTTTCGTCGCGCTAGGCTCCGGGAAGTTGCTGCTGGTTTCCGCGAGTCGCTATTCCTTGAGATCCAGCTCTATTTGCGCACGAATCCGTAGTATCAGCGTATCTCCACCACCAGTTTCGTACTAGACGCTGGCTACTACCAAAATTTGAGGGCGCTGAGCAAGCAGCCACGTAGCTTATCGCGTCGCGCGTCGACCAGCAGAACTTCGCGGTAGTGCCCGCGCGATTGCGCGACTCGCGAACTCGCCAGCGAGTTTCGTGAAGGTTACCACCGTCGAACGGAGCCAGTAGACGAAGAGACAGCGAAACGAAACGCAGGAAAGAAAAAAAATATCGCAAACAGCAGCCATGGCTGCCCCGAGTCGCAGCGCGCAGGATCTGCTGATGGACGACAAATGGGACCTCTGCGTCGACCTCTCGCTCCGCCGAGTCGTCTACAGCACGCTCGCGGGGGCCGCCACCGGGCTCGTACTCTTTAGTGAGTGATTCGTTCAATGCTTGATTGCTCGCATGACCTCGTTCGAGGGCGCCATCACCGGGCTCGTCCTCTTTAGTGAGTGATCCGTCTTTAGTGAGTGTTCCGTGAGTATTCCGACTAGTTTTGAGCGAGCCCCACGAGACGCTTGGCCGCTCTAGTTATTCCTCCCTCCCCCCCACACGCACGTCCCACGCTCTAGCTGTTCTTTCCCCTCCACCCGCCGTTCCCTTCACCAATCAGGGAGCCTCACGAGTCGATGGGCCGCCCTCGCCGTCGGCGCAGGCTGCGGGATCGCTTCCGCCTGCACCGACTGCTTTCGCGCGTACCTACACGTGGTGACTTTTGAGTCGTCTCAAAAGACACCGACTGCTTTCGCGCGTACCTACACGTGCTCAAGTTCTTTTCCCCCCTCCGCATCCTTTCTTTCCTTCCCCCTCCCGCCATCCTTCAGGGTCCCCCACGAGTCGCTGGGCGGCTCTCGCCTTCGGCGCCGGGTGCGGAGTCGGTTCCGCCTACACAGACTGCTCGCGCATTCGATGCCAAAGTCCCTTCCTCCCCCCATCCTCCCTTTCCTTCCCCTCCCTCCACCCTTCCCTCCTACCGTGCAGGGTCCCCCACGAGTCGCTGGGCCGCTCTCGCCTTCGGCGCCGGTTGCGGCGTCGGTTCCGCCTACACAGACTGCTCGCGCATTCTCGACGGCCACGTGCCGCAATTCTCCGCCCCGCGTGCTGCTAAAGCCGCCTCCGCTGCCCCTGCTCCCGCTGCGCCTGCCGTTTTTTCACCACCCCCCGTTGCACCTGCCCCTGCCCCGGTCCCATCTGCTGCTGCCGCGGCTGCTGGCTCATCAGGGTCGTCCGATCAACTGCCGCAGGTATGGAGGGTGTAGATGCCTTGATAGTGGGGCCCAGGTAACCAGGGTGGGAGCAGGGCTGCCCCTGCTGCCCCTGCCCCTGCCGCTGCCCCTGTCCCTGCCACTGCTGGTGCATGGATCGTCCGATCAACTGCCGCAGGTAAGGGGGTTACTGAGACGCCTGGATAGTGCCTCAGGTAACCTTGGGTGGGACTAGGGTGGGTAAGCAGGTCTGGGCGCTGCTGGTGCATCAGGGTCGTCGGATCAACTGCCGCAGGTATGGAAGGTGTAGATGCATCAATAGTGCCCCAGGTAACCAGGGTGGGAGCAGGGCTGCCCCTGCTGCCCCTGCTGCCTCTGCTCCTGTCCCTCCCACGGCTGCTGGTGCATCAGGGTCGTCCGATTAACTGCCGCAGGTATGGAGGTTTCTGAGACGCCTGGATAACAGGATGAAGGACTGCCCAAGGTAAGCAGCGCTGGTTAACAGGGTGAGGGACTAAGTGTATCTGCTTTGCCTACACTACACCGACTGCTCTTCATTCCAGCTCCTCGCTCCATGATGCACTTCCTTCCCCCCTCTCCCCTCTCCCTCCTCTCTGTTGTCAGAGCTATTCCTTCTGCTCCTGCCGCCCCCTGCCATTCCTGCAATCCATGCTGCGCCTGCTGTCACTGCTGTCCCTGCCAAGTCTGCCCCTGCCTTTGGCTTAGGCTCTGTCTTGGCTGTGCCGTCATGGACTGCATTTGCATTCTAAATATACACCTTTTTTGAGGCGCCTCAAAAATAGTCTGCCCCTGCCTTTGGCTTTGGCTCTGTCTTGGCTCTGTCTTGGCTCTGCCTTCATGGACTGCATTTGCATCCCAAATGTGCACGTGTTACAGCCACCCACACCCCCTCCCTCCCCTCCCTCCCCTTCCTCCACTGCTGCCCGAGCCCTGTCCATGCGCTCTTTCACTGATCCCCTCTGTTGTCCACATCGGTGTCCCAACCGGTTTTTGAGAATTCTCAAAAACCACCCCCTCCCTCCCTCCCCTCCTTCCACTGCTGCCCGAGCTCTGTCCATGCGCTCTTTCACTGATCCCCTCTGTTGTCCACATCGGTGTCCCAACCGTTGGCTTTCTCTGTGCTCTTTTCTTGCAGGATTAGGAGTGAGAGAGCAGGAAGGCCTTGTGCTTTTGAACTTTCTCAAAGCGACTCGCATTTTGACTGTTTGGGACCCTCTCCACTTGAGATGACAGCACCTGATAACTGCTGTCCTTTCTTCCCGTCCCTGGTTACTACTGCTGCACCTGAGACTAGAAATGGAAGTTCCCGGTATTTGTTTCCCACGTCGCTGTGGATAACCCACTTAAGTTGTAGCGAAGGAAGAGATGCATGTAAGATTCACGCTGGTTAGTGTACTGTACTGGCTCTGCGCTGGCAATACAGTCAAGGCAAGATACCGGTAAGTACGTAGCAAGTGGATTTCACATTCCACCAAGGGGCCTGCAGAGGGTGAAGATAATCACATATGGCGTGAAGGCCATGCATTCGCAGAAGATATGCAACGTTGTTGGTGGTGGATGTGACATCACCACCATACCCTGTTTTGATTGATAAATGGCATGCCTCTCAAGTGAAGTGACCAACTGAAGCCCCGTCCTGGTGTGATGAAAAGGAAAGAGGCTCGTAACGTGAACCCCCAGTCAAGTCTTGTCAGTGCTGCGGAGCTTTTGCGCTTCACCCATCCATCCATCCATCCTACCGTACCGTACCGCACCACCCTCCACCCGACATCCCAGCTACTGCACCACCTTCGCCTTTGCTCTGCAACTTCCCTCCACTTTCACACAGCAATGCACATGAGGTTACACCCCCTTCTCCTCATTCAATCAACCACACACCTACCACTACCGCACCGCACCACCTTCGCCTTGGCCATTTCCTCTCCCTCCACCTTCTCCTCACTCTCCCAGCCCTCCTCATCGCTCACCCCTCCTTCCGGCACTACTAATGGCACCCCATCGTCATCCTCCTCCCCCTCAGCAGCACCCGGCACGAGCGACAGCGACGCCAGGCTGTCACCAGGGGCGATGCGCACGAGGCGACAATTCCTCCTCCTCCCCATCCATCCACCTGACAGGCACCCTACATCCCAACTACTGCACTGCTTTTGCCTTTTCCCTGCTCCCTTCCTCCACCTTCTCCTCCTCACTCTCCTCATCGCTCACCCCTCCTTCCGGCACTACTAATGGCACCCCATCGTCATCCTCCTCCCCCTCAGCAGCACCCGGCACGAGCGACAGCGACGCCAGGCTGTCACCAGGGGCGATGCGCACGAGGCGACAATTCCTCCTCCTCCCCATCCATCCACCTGACAGGCACCCTACATCCCAACTACTGCACTGCTTTTGCCTTTTCCCTGCTCCCTTCCTCCACCTTCTCCTCCTCACTCTCCTCATCGCTCACCCCTCCTTCCGGCACTACTAATGGCACCCCATCGTCATCCTCCTCCCCCTCAGCAGCACCCGGCACGAGCGACAGCGACGCCAGGCTGTCACCAGGGGCGATGCGCACGAGGCGACAATTCCTCCTCCTCCCCATCCATCCACCTGACAGGCACCCTACATCCCAACTACTGCACTGCTTTTGCCTTTTCCCTGCTCCCTTCCTCCACCTTCTCCTCCTCACTCTCCTCATCGCTCACCCCTCCTTCCGGCACTACTAATGGCACCCCATCGTCATCCTCCTCCCCCTCAGCAGCACCCGGCACGAGCGACAGCGACGCCAGGCTGTCACCAGGGGCGATGCGCACGAGGCGACAATTCCTCCTCCTCCCCATCCATCCACCTGACAGGCACCCTACATCCCAACTACTGCACTGCTTTTGCCTTTTCCCTGCTCCCTTCCTCCACCTTCTCCTCCTCACTCTCCTCATCGCTCACCCCTCCTTCCGGCACTACTAATGGCACCCCATCGTCATCCTCCTCCCCCTCAGCAGCACCCGGCACGAGCGACAGCGACGCCAGGCTGTCACCAGGGGCGATGCGCACGAGGCGACAATTCCTCCTCCTCCCCATCCATCCACCTGACAGGCACCCTACATCCCAACTACTGCACTGCTTTTGCCTTTTCCCTGCTCCCTTCCTCCACCTTCTCCTCCTCACTCTCCTCATCGCTCACCCCTCCTTCCGGCACTACTAATGGCACCCCATCGTCATCCTCCTCCCCCTCAGCAGCACCCGGCACGAGCGACAGCGACGCCAGGCTGTCACCAGGGGCGATGCGCACGAGGCGACAATTCCTCCTCCTCCCCATCCATCCACCTGACAGGCACCCTACATCCCAACTACTGCACTGCTTTTGCCTTTTCCCTGCTCCCTTCCTCCACCTTCTCCTCCTCACTCTCCTCATCGCTCACCCCTCCTTCCGGCACTACTAATGGCACCCCATCGTCATCCTCCTCCCCCTCAGCAGCACCCGGCACGAGCGACAGCGACGCCAGGCTGTCACCAGGGGCGATGCGCACGAGGCGACAATTCCTCCTCCCCATCCATCCACCTGACAGGCACCCTACATCCCAACTACTGCACTGCTTTTGCCTTTTCCCTGCTCCCTTCCTCCACCTTCTCCTCCTCACTCTCTTCATCACTCACTCCTCCTTCCGGCACCACCAATGGCACCCCATCGTCATCCTCCTCCCCCTCAGCAGCACCCGGCACGAGCGACAGCGACGCCAGGCTGTCACCAGGGGCGATGCGCATGAGGCGGCACCCCCGGGTGGCGCGGGAGAGAATGGGGATGTCTCGCACTCGCAGGCGGTTGATTATTCCCCCGTCGCTGCCCACCAGTAATTCCCCGTTTGCAGTGTCAGTGCCTGGGGGATGAGGGTAGGGAGAGGATGGGGGATGGGGGATGCGAAGGAGAGGGTGGTGAGGGAGAGGATGGGGATGAGAGGATGGGGATGCTCGCACTCGCAACTGGTTGATAATACTTCCGTCACTGCCCACTAAGACCTCTCCATACTCCATACAAGCTGCCTCGTTTGTAGTGTCCAGTGGCTGTGAGGGATCTGGGGAGAGGAGAGTGAGAGTGGGAACGGGGTAGGGGCAAAGCTAACTTCGAGGTTAAGGGAGGGAAAGGGGGAAGGGGCAATGCACATACGGAGTATGGGGAAGCAAGTGGGGTGATGTGGGGTGTTGTTGTGTGTGCAAATATCCTCTCCTCCCCATCCACAAACACCTACTGTGCCTGTCCTATCCTCCGCTTCTCCCCCCCTCCCTACCATTCTCCCCACTCACCGTCTCTGTCAGCAGTGCTCTCTCCCACCAGACGCAGCGCCACCAGATTTGCTGTTCCTTCCCACTCCCAACAATCTTCTCCTCCCCTCCCTTCCCCTCGCCTTCACTCTCCTCCCATCTCTACGCCGTCTCACCACTCCCCCCTCGCTCACCGTCTCTGTCAGCAGTGCCCTCCCCCACCAGACGCAGCGCCACGAGTGCATCCCCCTCGCCCAGCTGCACGTGATGCAAAATGACAGGGATGTTTTGGGGGGGGGGGGAGGTTGGGGAGGTATTGGGGCGTGGTCTCGTAAGCATGGTACTGAGGTGCCCCGACAGAGGCCCACCAGACGCAGTGCCAGCAGTGCACCCCCCTCGGGCCCAGCTGCGGTGGAGGCACATAGTAAGGGGGGTGAGGGTGGGGGAGGAGGGAGGGGGTAGCTGGGACGTTGTTTTGTCAAACTGGTTGGTGGCAGAACAAAGTTGCTCCCAGCCCATCACTTTTGCGTCGACTCAAAAGCAGACTCGTTACATGCGGTTTTTATATTGAAAGGTTTTTCGATTCGACTCAGAAACATTGTTTTATCAAACCGGTTTGTGGCAGAACACACTTGCTCCCAGCCCATCACTACATCGAAGTTACATCGAAGTTACATACAGACAAGTCGCCCCCTATACACTCGACTGGCTTCACAAATCGTAATGTAACCCCCTCACCACGCACTCAACTGACTTCACACGCTCACCTTGATGTTCTTCACCCCCACGCCTCCTCTCCATTGGTTGGCGAATTGGTTGGTGGGAACACATGAGTCGAAGGCAAACCCAGCGAAGCCCCTCAAACACCACCCACCACACTCACCCTTTCTCATCCACTCACCTTGATGCCCTTCACCCCCACGCCTCCTCTCCGCTGGCTGGGGAGCTGGTTGGTGGGAACACATGAGTCGAAGGCAAACCCATTGATGCCCTTCAAACACAACCCAAGCATTGCCCCAATCCCAGCAACACTCACCTTGCCCTATTCACTCACCTTAATGCCCTTCACTCCCACGCCTCCCCTTTTCTGGTTGGCAAATGGCTCGTGGGAACACGCTTGCCCATCCCATCACATGCTCCCACACGCAATTCACCCCACACGCTCACCTTGATGCCCTTCACTCCCACGCCTCCCCTTTTCTGGTTGGCAAACAGGCTCGTGGGAACACGCTTGCCCATCCCATTGCGAGTGGCCATGACTACCCACGGGCCCCCGTCTTTCGACTCGCTGTGCGGAGAAATGATGTTGCGGGGAGAGGGATGGGGGGCAGGAAGCGACAAAAGAAAGGATTGGTACATGCTACAAGACACTTGCCCAGCCCAGCCCAGGACTCACTGCATGGAGAGCAGAAGGAAAGGGAACGGAAAGAAAGGGGATTGAAGGGTACGAAAAACAGAGAAGGGAAGCAAGGCAAGCTTGGACTTGCCCAGCACATCCCAGGCGATTGGAAGGATTTTTGAGTCTTTTTGAGACGTCTCAAAAACACCCTCATTTCACATCCCAGGCCGTTGGAAGGATTTTTGAGTTGACTCATCCCAGGCCGTTGAGAGTTGGTGCCACCACTGGCACAGCCTTTTGTGTGAGTCCTCGGACTCGATGCAACGAAGAAGCGGGAGGGTAGGAAAGGAAGGAGATGAAGCCAGAAGAAGTCCTCGGACTCGATGCTTTTCAGACCCTCGTCCCTCTCATTGGAAAGAGTGAGAGATTACACACACGTGCTTAAGTCATTCCCAAGAGACACTCGTAAGTAGACCAGAGAAGAGCAGGCGAGCAAGCAAACCAAGGCAGCCACACAATCCCATCCCAGCAACGGGATGTGCCCAAACAGAGACGGGCGAAGCAGCAGCCACGCACGATGCGACAGCTGGCACTCACGATGCGACAGCTGGCACGATCTCCAAGGCAGCGACGATGTCCCCCTCCTTCAGCCGCATGGCCCTCACTCCCCTCGCTGTGCGCCCGCTCTGCCTCAGCTGGTAGGTGGGGAAACGGCAGGTGTAGGGGGCCCGGGGGTTTATGGAGGGGTTGAGTTGTGAGATATGGATTGTCGTCTCAGCCGCATGGCCCTCACTCCCCTCGCTGTGCGCCCGCTCTGCCTCAGCTGGTAGGTGGGGCGAAAGCAGGTGAGGCGAATGCAGGTGAGGCGAATGCAGGTGAGGCGAATGCAGGTGAGGCGAATGCAGGTGAGGCGAACGCAGGTGGAGTTGGAAGAAAGGGGAGAGGGAAGAGGAAAGGGAGGGGTGTCGTCTCAGCCACATCGCATGGCCCTCACACCTCTTGCTCTGAGCTCCACACCCACTCTGCCACAGCCGGTATTGAGGCTGTTTTTGAGGCGCCTCAAAAATGAACTCAACTGCATGGCCCTCACACCTCTTGCTCTGAGCTCTTCACCCACTCTGCCACAGCCGGTGTTGATGCTGTTTTTGAGGCGCCTCAAAAATGAACTCAACTGCATGGCCCTCACACCTCTTGCTCTGAGCTCCACACCCCCTCTGCCACAGCCGGTGTTGAGGCTGTTTTTGAGGCGCCTCAAAAATGAACTCAACTGCATGGCCCTCACACCTCTTGCTCTGAGCTCCGCACCCACTCTGCCACAGCCGGTGTTGAGGCTGTTTTTGAGGCGCCTCAAAAATGAACTCAACTGCATGGCCCTCACACCTCTTGCTCTGAGCTCCACACCCCCTCTGCCACAGCCGGTGTTGAGGCTGTTTTTGAGGCGCCTCAAAAATGAACTCAACTGCATGGCCCTCACACCTCTTGCTCTGAGCTCCGCACCCACTCTGCCACAGCCGGTGTTGAGGCTGTTTTTGAGGCGCCTCAAAAATGAACTCAACTGCATGGCCCTCACACCTCTTGCTCTGAGCTCCACACCCCCTCTGCCACAGCCGGTATTGAGGCTGTTTTTGAGGCGCCTCAAAAATGAACTCAACTGCATGGCCCTCACACCTCTTGCTCTGAGCTCCGCACCCACTCTGCCACAGCCGGTATTGAGGCTGTTTTTGAGGCGCCTAAAAAATGAACTCAACTGCATGGCCCTCACACCCCTTGCTCTGAGCTCCGCACCCACTCTGCCACAGCCGGTGTTGAGGCTGTTTTTGAGGCGCCTCAAAAATGAACTCAACTGCATGGCCCTCACACCTCTTGCACTGAGCTCCACACCCACTCTGCCACAGCCGGTGGTGCGGGGACGAGGGAGAGCAGGCCGCGGGGGAAATGGAGAAGGGATTGGGTTACAGGATATCCGTCATCTGTTTTTAACATGTGAAGTCGCAGATGGTCGTTTGGGAGGGGCGAGTGAGCGAGCCAAGGGAAGAAACAATAAGTACTAGACGCCTTCGTTTGGTCTAACGAAGGGATACTAGACGCCTTCGTTTGGTCTAACGAAGGGATACTAGACGCCTTCGTTTGGTCTAACGAAGGGATACTAGACGCCTTCGTTTGGTCTAACGAAGGGATACTAGACGCCTTCGTTTGGTCTAACGAAGGGATACTAGACGCCTTCGTTTGGTCTAACGAAGGGATACTAGACGCCTTCGTTTGGTCTAACGAAGGGATACTAGACGCCTTCGTTTGGTCTAACGAAGGGATACTAGACGCCTTCGTTTGGTCTAACGAAGGGATACTAGACGCCTTCGTTTGGTCTAACGAAGGGATACTAGACGCCTTCGTTTGGTCTAACGAAGGGATACTAGACGCCTTCGTTTGGTCTAACGAAGGGATACTAGACGCCTTCGTTTGGTCTAACGAAGGGATACTAGACGCCTTCGTTTGGTCTAACGAAGGGATACTAGACGCCTTCGTTTGGTCTAACGAAGGGATACTAGACGCCTTCGTTTGGTCTAACGAAGGGATACTAGACGCCTTCGTTTGGTCTAACGAAGGGATACTAGACGCCTTCGTTTGGTCTAACGAAGGGATACTAGACGCCTTCGTTTGGTCTAACGAAGGGATACTAGACGCCTTCGTTTGGTCTAACGAAGGGATACTAGACGCCTTCGTTTGGTCTAACGAAGGGATACTAGACGCCTTCGTTTGGTCTAACGAAGGGATACTAGACGCCTTCGTTTGGTCTAACGAAGGGATACTAGACGCCTTCGTTTGGTCTAACGAAGGGATACTAGACGCCTTCGTTTGGTCTAACGAAGGGATACTAGACGCCTTCGTTTGGTCTAACGAAGGGATACTAGACGCCTTCGTTTGGTCTAACGAAGGGATACTAGACGCCTTCGTTTGGTCTAACGAAGGGATACTAGACGCCTTCGTTTGGTCTAACGAAGGGATACTAGACGCCTTCGTTTGGTCTAACGAAGGGATACTAGACGCCTTCGTTTGGTCTAACGAAGGGATACTAGACGCCTTCGTTTGGTCTAACGAAGGGATACTAGACGCCTTCGTTTGGTCTAACGAAGGGATACTAGACGCCTTCGTTTGGTCTAACGAAGGGATACTAGACGCCTTCGTTTGGTCTAACGAAGGGATACTAGACGCCTTCGTTTGGTCTAACGAAGGGATACTAGACGCCTTCGTTTGGTCTAACGAAGGGATACTAGACGCCTTCGTTTGGTCTAACGAAGGGATACTAGACGCCTTCGTTTGGTCTAACGAAGGGATACTAGACGCCTTCGTTTGGTCTAACGAAGGGATACTAGACGCCTTCGTTTGGTCTAACGAAGGGATACTAGACGCCTTCGTTTGGTCTAACGAAGGGATACTAGACGCCTTCGTTTGGTCTAACGAAGGGATACTAGACGCCTTCGTTTGGTCTAACGAAGGGATACTAGACGCCTTCGTTTGGTCTAACGAAGGGATACTAGACGCCTTCGTTTGGTCTAACGAAGGGATACTAGACGCCTTCGTTTGGTCTAACGAAGGGATACTAGACGCCTTCGTTTGGTCTAACGAAGGGATACTAGACGCCTTCGTTTGGTCTAACGAAGGGATACTAGACGCCTTCGTTTGGTCTAACGAAGGGATACTAGACGCCTTCGTTTGGTCTAACGAAGGGATACTAGACGCCTTCGTTTGGTCTAACGAAGGGATACTAGACGCCTTCGTTTGGTCTAACGAAGGGATACTAGACGCCTTCGTTTGGTCTAACGAAGGGATACTAGACGCCTTCGTTTGGTCTAACGAAGGGATACTAGACGCCTTCGTTTGGTCTAACGAAGGGATACTAGACGCCTTCGTTTGGTCTAACGAAGGGATACTAGACGCCTTCGTTTGGTCTAACGAAGGGATACTAGACGCCTTCGTTTGGTCTAACGAAGGGATACTAGACGCCTTCGTTTGGTCTAACGAAGGGATACTAGACGCCTTCGTTTGGTCTAACGAAGGGATACTAGACGCCTTCGTTTGGTCTAACGAAGGGATACTAGACGCCTTCGTTAGTGCCCCTACTTAAAGATTTAACCAATGATATTTGAGAGCACGGAAAACAGAAACTCGGGAAACACACGACACAGACCTGGTCATCGTCGCATGCAAAGCGAACGATGTTGCCAAACTGCGAGCCGACCAATAGGGAGTCGCCATCTGTCGCTCTCCGCACCCACGCCAGCTCATCGCCGTCGCCCTGCCACACCCATGCGATTGGGGAAGGACAGAGGGGAGTTGGAAGCGGCGGAAAGGGATTCAGTGAGGTGTTATCCAAGGGAATGCAGGAGGCAGCGCAGCGCAGAGAAGCGTTTCCTTGTTGGGTTTCGTCAGAGGTCATCAAAGCTCATTTGGCCTAGGCAAATTCCACACAAGGCCGGTGTATCTATGCATACCACCTTGACCCACCTTGACCCACCTTGACCCACCTTGACCCACCTTCACCCACCTTCACCCACCTTCAACCCCCGTCACCCACCTTCAACCCCCGTCACCCACCTTCAACCCCCGTCACACAACATACCAGCTGAATGGCAATGAGACTGCTCTTGCGTGTGTCACTGAACGAATGCAGAGTAGTGCGTGTCATTGAACAGACAGAAAACAAAGACCCACCAGCTGAATGGCAAATTGGCAATCAGGCCGCCCTTTCGAGTGTCACTGAACGCATGAAGAGCGGTGCGCTTGACGAAGGCCCCTCGCGTCATGACAGACACACACAGATGCATGCACACAGACAGGATACCAGTTGTACAGCACTAGGCCAGCATAGAGAGACACACGCACCAGCTGAATGGCAATGAGACCGCTCTTGCGAGTGTCGCAGAAGTCGTGCAGAGCAGTGCGCTTGATGAAGCCCCCTCGCATCATGATAGGCATGGATAGACAGACGACAGATACGCACAGGTGAACCTTGTATATGTGCGCACAGGATGACAGCTGCACAGCACTAAGCCAGCACAGACGGACGGATGGACCCACCAGCTGAATGGCAATGAGGCCGCTCTTGCGTGTGTCGCTGAAGGCATGCAGCGCAGTGCGCTTGATGAAGCCCCCTCGACTCGAGTCACAGACCGACGTACGGACATGTGATACATGCATACACACACAGCGTACCAGCTGAATGGCGATAAGTCCGCTCTTGCGAGTGTCGCTGAAGGCATGCAGCGCAGTGCGCTTGATGAAGCCCCCTCGTGTCATCATGACGAGATAAGCGTCTTCTGAGAAGTCTCCCACTGGCAGCATTGAGGTGATGCGCTCTGAGTCCTGCAGAGGCACGATCTGATGGGAGGCGGGAGGGAGAGGAGAAGTGGGAAGGGGTGGGGAGGGGTGGTTGGTATACTGTGAGACTTGACGAGATAAGCGTCTTCTGAAAAGTCCCCCACTGGTAGCATTGACGTGATGCGCTCTGAGTCCTGCAGAGGCACAATCTGATGGGGGGAGGGGGGAAGAAGGGGGGACGGGGAGGTGTTTGGGGAGAGAGGGGGAAGGGGTGGTTGGGGTACTGTGAGTGAGTCATCATGACGAGATAGGCGTCTTCTGAGAAATCACCCACTGGCAGCATGGATGTGATGCGCTCTGAGTCCTGCAGAGGCACGACCTGATGGGGGGGTGGAGAGGCAACGAGTGGAGAGCGAGGAGCAAGATGCATGACTGGAAGGCTATAACGGGACTAGTAGGGCGCTAGTATAGTGCAGTGCACTATAGTAGCAAAGAGGGATTTTTGAGTCGACTCAAGACATGGCACGCAGAATAGTAGTGGAGAGTGGGATGACGTGCCTGGGAGATGGGAGAGCCAATGGCAGTGCTCGGGGATGTTTTGAGGCGCCTTAAAAAAATGGGTTGGGAGAGGGGACGCCATACCTGGGAGATGGGAGAGCCTATGGCAGTGCGAGAGCCCTCGGGGATCTGATAACCCTTCATGGTGTATGCCACTCCCCGGTCACTGCAGACAGAAGCAGCAGGAAAGAGAGAAGAGAAACAGATGGCACCAGATTCACTTTTGAGAATTCTCATAAGCGGTATTAACATAATTGATGGCCGTGCGAGTGCCCTCGGGGATCTGATAACCCTTCATGGTGTATGCCACTCCGAGGTCACTGCAAGGCAGGAACAAGATGAATTCAAGGAATTTACAGGATGATTGTATTTACCACCCTCATCATGCAACCAGAGGGACGGGTGGGTCCGGCAGACCAAAATGCTCATGCACGCAGGAAGACAGGCATTTCTTAAAAGCATCGCAAGCAATGGTAATGGGTATTCTATGGTAATGGTAGCAGTAATGTTTATGGTAATGGTAATGGTAATTGTTATTGTAATTGTGATTGTAATTGTAATAAAAATGGTTATAGTGATGGTAATGGTGATGGTGATGGTGATGGTAATGGTAATGGTAATGGTAATGGTAATGGTAATGGTAATGGAATGGTAAAGGTACTGGTAATGTTTATGGTAATGGTAATGATCATGGTAATGGTAATGGTAATGGTAATGGTGATGGTAATGGTAATAATAATGGTTATGGTAATGTTAATGGTATAGGTAATGTTTATGGTAATGGTAATGGTGATAGTAATGGTAATACTAATGGTAATGGTAATGATAATGGTAACGGTGATAGTAATGGTAATAATAATGGTTATGGTAATGGTTATGCTAATGGTACTGGTAATGTTTATGGTAATGGTGATGGTAATAGAATGGTAATGGTCATAGTAATAGTACTGGTAATGGTAACGTTTATGGTAAATGGTAATGGTAATGCCCACTTGAAGAAGAGCACGGTGTCGTGGGTGCGGCACACCACAAAGCGCGCCATGGCATCGTCCGCCTTGAGCTTGCCATCCGACTTGTCTCATGCAAGCAAAGGGATGTGCAGACGGGCACCCACTCCACTCACCCACCCACCCCATCCACCCAACCAATAGCCCACCTAAAAAACAGCACTGTGTCATGAGTGCGGCACACCACAAAGCGCGCCATGGCATCATCTGCCTTAAGCTTGCCGCCCGACTTGCCCGCCGTGCCCCTCTTCTGCGCTGAGAACGTGTCTGCTGCCATGCGCTTCACGTAGCCACGCTCACTTAAGTTCTAAAAGAAGGGGGGAGTGTGGGAGGGGTTGGGGGCGAAGCAAAGGCACAGAGTGCTTCTTTTGACTGCCTGACTTGCCCGCTGTGTCTCTCTTCTGGGCTGAAAACGTGCCTGCTGCCATGCGCTTCACATACCCCTGCTCACTCAGATTCTGAAGGGGCAAAGGGGGGTGGATGAGAGCGGGGGGGAGGGGCGGAGTAAGTGATTCTCTCTAAGTGACTGACTGGCTTGCCCACGGTGTCTCACTTCTGCGCTGAGAACGTGTCTGCTGCCATGCGCTTCACATACACGGTACCCCCTCTCACTAAGGTTGTGGAATGTGGGTGGGAAAAGGAGGGAAAAGCGACCAACGGGCGTGTGGCTCTCTGACGGGGGTTGGGGGGGAATACAGAGACGACTAACTGACTCTGCATGGGGCTCTTTTGAAGAGACGACTGGCTGACTTGCCCGCTGTGCCCCTCTTCTTACTGACATGGAAAGGTTTCAGTGACGTCCCCAGTAGTGCTGCAGTTTGCCTCCTCGTCCTCCTCCGTATGCCAAACTTGTCCTTGAGAGACAATGACATGGTATGAAGCAGACACCCTAACTCATGCACCAATCCAAACCTACCAGCAGCACGGTGTCATTGAGCTGTCAAGAGAGAAGTGTCATTGAGAGTTGATGGAAGTAAGGCCTCCGCAGCCCACCTGTCCTCTGCACGTCCTCTGCACCCGGTGTCATTGAGAATGACGTCTGAAGGATCCAAGTCCCCTGCACTCCCATCCGCCTCTATCCTCGTCCTCCTTGCCTCCCAAACTCGTCTTTGAGTCAAGAGGCCACACAGAGACACCCGCAAAGAAATGCACACTGACACACACACACACACCAGCATACCAGCAGCACGGTGTCATTGGGGATGACGTCAGACGGGTCCAAATCCCCTGCACTCCCGTCTGCCTCTATCCGCGTCCTCCTCGGCCCACCAAACTCGTCCTTGAGCGCTTGGGCCTCTCTCTTCACAGTTTGTAGAATCCTCTTTCTGCTCGCCAGCAGACCTTGGAGATCTGCAATGTCAGCCTTCAGACGCGCGTGCTCCTCCTCTAGTTTAGACACCTGGGTGGAAGCGAGAGGGGGTGAAAGGGAAGGAAGAGAGGGGATGAAAGGGAAGGAAGAGAGGGGATGAAAGGGAAGGAAGAGAGGGGATGAAAGGGAAGGAAGAGAGGGGATGAAAGGGAAGGAAGAGAGGGGATGAAAGGGAAGGAAGAGAGGGGATGAAAGGGAAGGAAGAGAGGGGATGAAAGGGAAGGAAGAGAGGGGATGAAAGGGAAGGAAGAGAGGGGATGAAAGGGAAGGAAGAGAGGGGATGAAAGGGAAGGAAGAGAGGGGATGAAAGGGAAGGAAGAGAGGGGATGAAAGGGAAGGAAGAGAGG